GCAGCCACTGGGGCCTTGGGGGAGTCCCTATTGGGCCCACACAACGTGTGAGTTGTGTTTGTGCGAACAATTCTGTCTGCGGGTGGGTGGGGGGAGGGGGTAGTTGGGGGGGGAGGTTTGTGGCGCATGGGAGCGCAGCCACTGGGGCCTTCGCTGGAGCTCCCTATGGGGCCACGAAACGTGTGGGGGGTGTGCCGAAATGGGCGCGGCGGGCGCATGGGAGCGCAGCCACTGGGGCCTTCGCTGGAGCTCCCCATGGGACCACGAAACGTGTGATGGGTGTGCCGAAATGGGTGCGGTGGGCGCATGGGAGCGCAGCCACTGGGGCCTTCGGTGGAGCTCCCTATGGGGCCACGAAACGTGTGAGGGGTGTGCCGAATGGGATGTGCGGGACGCATGCGGACGGCGGCACTGGGGCCTTCGGTGAGCTCCCTATGGGGCCACGAAACGTGTGAGGGGTGCGCCGAATTGGTCGTGCGGGACGCATGCGGCCAGCAGCACTGGGGCCTTCGGTGAGCTCCCTATGGGCCACGGAAAACGTGTTGAGGGTGTCTCTGTTGGCCGTAAATCTGTGCGGTGGGCGTCATCCAGCGCAAGCCACTGGGGCCTTCGCTGGAGCTCCCTATGCGGGCCACGCAGCCACTGGGGCCTTCGCTGGAGCTCCCTATGGGGCCACGAAGCGTGTGAGGGGTGTGCCGAAATGGGTGCGGTGGCGCATGGGAGCGCAGCCACTGGGGCCTTCGCTGGAGCTCCCTATGGGGCCACGAAACGTGTGAGGGGTGTGCCGAAATGGGTGCGGTGGCGCATGGGAGCGCAGCCACTGGGGCCTTCGGTGGAGCTCCCTATGGGGCCACGAAACGTGTGAGGGGTGTGCCGAAATCTGTGCGGTGGGCGCATGGGAGCGCAGCCACTGGGGCCTTCGCTGGAGCTCCCTATGATCGTCATGATGGTGATGATGATGATGATGATGATGATGATGATGATGATGATGATGATGATGATGATGATGATGATGATGATGATGATGATGATGATGATGGCAGGAGGGAGGGGGCAGCGGGAGGAGGAGTGAACGCGGGGCGCTGTCTCTTCAAAACGAGGACCCAACACCACAGGATGGTTGGGAATGATGATGATGACGATGATGATGATGATGATGATGATGATGATGATGATGATGATGATGATGATGATGATGATGATGATGATGATGATGACGATGAGGATGATAGGAGGGGAGAGGAGGCGGAGGAGGAGAGGAGGAGAGGAGACGCGGGCCACCGTCTCTTCAAAACGAGGACCCAACACCACAGGATGGTTGGGAACAAAAAAAAAAAAGATGCAGGCCGGGGAGACGTAAGACACGGGTACGGGGGACTCGGAAATCCCCGACGAGGTCGTCAAAAAAATGACGAGGCCGAGCCTGCATTTTGACGAGGCCTCCCGCTGCAGACATCCCACGAAACTCCTACTCGTCAAAATCCGAGTCGCGGTCGTCAAAAAAAAAGGCGAATCCGAGTCCTGGCAAACCCGGGTCTTACGCCCTGGCCGCCCTCGCAAGAGACCCAACAAAAAAACAATCTATCTATATATATATATATATATATAAAAGATGCAGGGCGCGAGAGACCCACGGCGCCCCCCGCGCCGGCCCAGCCGGCGGCCTCGAACGGAACGGGCCGCGCGCCTGCCGAGCCCGAGCGGCCGCGGCCCAGTCCGTCGGCGCCCCGGGCGCCCCGACCCCGCCGCGGGCCTCGCGCTCGGCAGCGCAGCGGCCGCAGGGGAAGTCTGCGCGGAGGGACTGCTCGGCGCGCATGCTCGGGTCGAGGAGCCCGACATGCCCGGCGCACGTCGACGGTGAGTGGTCAGATACGCTGGCATCGAAAGATCCCTCTGCCCCCCCGTGGAATCTAGCCCGTTGCTACATCTGGCACGACATGCTAGGCTGCGTCCTCCTGAAGCATCGGTAAATCTGAAACCGAAATCGCCCGGCTGGGAAAAAAGTCGACTTCCGCGGGAACGAGCCCCGTCGGCTGCCTGGAAATGGCATTCCAAGGACTGGTCAACGATCGCCGATGCCGCCCACCTGAAAACCTCGCGGGAGCGCGGGGGAATCTGCGCTCGACGAAAGATCGGGAGCGCCCCGGCGCGCCCCCGAGCCAGCAGTGGCGGAGTCGATCAGGTCATCGTTGATGTCGAAGTTATCGACCAAGCTCAAGCTTGCCACGAAAGGGGCGGGCCCTCACCAACGCGCATCGCGCAAGGATGCCAACCCCTTCGGGGCCTGTTTGTCGATCGGATCAAATTCATGGAAGATCCATCGAAGCGCCAAAAATGAAACAGGCGACGAAGAAACTCCAGACTCCCCCCACCCCCGCCGCCCCAGAGGCGCAGACCCGCGGGGCGACGCAGGCGGCCTCGAGGGCAGCGCGAGGAACGAGTCCGCGCGCCCCGCCAGCATGCCCCTTCCAAGCAGGAGGCGAAACACAGACCCCCAAATCACAGCCAAGCCGACCGAGGATGTCGGAGACAACGTCGCCGCGCCCATGGACGTCATATTGGGCGCATATCATATGGTAGAAGCATCGCGCAGTTGCCTGGGCCTCAGCACTGTTAGCCAACGACTTCGACCGAATCCGAAGACGACCCGCTCGAGGCACAACGCACTGTTAGCAACTCCATTGGATCTGCCGAGGCTGGAAGAGGCGCTGCGCGACCATGTCAATACCGGCCCTCGCCCAGTTGAGGTCGGCGGGAAGGTTGATCTGCCGCTGGGCTCTCGGGGGTCAGCTGAGTCAACGCTACCATCGCCATGGAACTCTCATCCCACTGCGTAGCCCCTGCGTCGCGGCCCATGGAGATCCGTCGACCGAGAGACTCTGAGATTGCGACCCTGAGCTTCTTGACATCCCGCGCGGAACTGGGCCCTACTCTGGCCTGGCATCCCCGCAAATAACTGCGCCCAAACGCTGGCCGCGAGCTTGCCGAACCCTCGCCGCCGCCGTTGCGGCGAGACCCGCGAAGCTGACAGCAGAGCGCTGGCCGAAAGGATGGCCTTCCAAATTGTAGTCCTCGCGGCGCGTGCAACTGGGCCCGCTGAGCCACCCGCGCAGCGCGGATTCGACAGCACCTCGCCCAACATCCTCCTTGGCACGGGCCGCGCAGACGCATGGGACAGGGGCGCGGGACCAGTCGGCCGCCCGCACAATGGGAACTCGCGGGGCCGACTTGGCAAGGCCGAGCTCCCGACTTGGCAAGTCCGAGCTCCTTCTCCAAGCGGTCGAGGCGGGCCTCCAGAATCCCGCGAACCTGAATGCGGGCATGAGCGCGAGCATCGTCATCACGAAGCTGGCATCCAGTCGCAAGAAACCTTTTTTGAAAGATCTTCTTTGGAAGAGCAAGCGCTGAATGACCGAAGGGATCTGCTGAGTGACCAGGGCCTGGACCGCCGACGTAATAGTTTGGTGGATCTTCTCCATAAGTAAGCGTGCGCCGAAAATCCTCGAACTTCTCGTTGGCGACGCCTCGCCGGTCGAGCCGCTGGTGGGAGCCTGACCTGGGGTAGCACTCTCAGCAGGCTATCCCCTGGCAGGGTCACCCGGAGCATCCTCGGCACAGTCATCTGTACGTCCTGGGCCACGCCAGCCCCCGGCGATGTGAGGGTGATGGGGGAGCGCCCGCAAAGCCACCGCGAGGAGCAGCAGGACGAGGCCATGGGGCTGCGCCACTGGGCGCGGCCGAGCCGGTGTTGCTCGGTCCTCCTCCACAGCCATCGTGCCTCAGGCTCGGGGAGGGGAAGGCCGACGCCTCGAGGCGTGCGGACACGAGGCCAGGGCCCTCCGCTTCGGCGGGGGCAGGCCGCCGATCTTGACTGGGCGGCCGAGAGCCCCACTCACTGCGCGACCGCTGACCAGAAGTGCGTCTTTGCGCCTGCTCGAAGTGACCATGCGAGCGACCCTTCTGCCGAACGCGTGGCCGAGGAGTACCCGGGGGGGTCGAACCTCTGACCTCGTAGTCCTGCTCATGGCGCGGCTGGCCAGGCGGTGCTGACTCCTCATCCCTGTCGTCCATCCTGCTCTTCCTGTCCTGTTTTTCTCATCCTTGTGATCGTCGCGTGCCATGCGATATCGGATAGCGCTGCCGCCCCCCCAGGAACTAAAAATGCTTCACTTAACCACAAGGGTGCCGACACAAGAAGGCCCGTAATGAAACGAATCCACCCGCGCTGGCGAGCGTGAGGAATCTCTGACAGGAGTGTGAACCAGCGAAAGCTGGCCGCGGACTAGTGGTATCTAGCCTGTCCCCTGGGGACCTATGCCTATGCACCTTGAGCCAAAATGGCTACGGACGGGGACGACGAAGGAGGAGAAGGAAGACGTACCAAGGACGGCTGGAGGACGAGGAGGGCGCGAGGGGAGACTTGCCATCACTCGGACTTCCACTCCCCGTGAATTTGTCGGTTCTGTGCATATCTTCTTTCGCGAGATGATCCAAGACGCGCTTCGATGGTCATCACTGAGATAAAATGCACACGTCCCGACGATGCCAACAAGAAGGGCGCAAAAGACGAGGACGCCGACGAGGAGGGATGGGGGCCGGGGGGAAGACGCAGACGAGACACCCTGAGATCCGACGTTGGAGAAATTAAAACAACATCGCAAAAAATCACGACCGGAGCCCTGGACCCCATCCTTCTGCGTCACTTTTCAAGCCGGATCCATCTGCGACGGTCCCGGGGCCCGAAGCCGAGCGAAAACGCCCGCTCGGACAAAAATGCAACGCCAAAATTTGAGGGAAGGGAGACGTAAGACTCGGGTACGGGGGACTCCGGACTCCGGTTGGCCTGACGGGGCCTTCATGCAAGTGACGAGAACCAATCTGAAATTTCACGCGAGCTCCCGCTGCAAACATCCCACGAACACTGGACCGTCACATCCCAGGACGCGCTCGTCCACAAACTTCGGCAAACCCAAGTTCCGGCGTACTCGGGTCTTACTTTCCCCGAGACGAGGACGAGGACGAGGCGCACGTCTTCTTCTCGCTCGGCTTGGCCGCGGCCCTGGGAGTCTCCGCGCCCGGCCGAGCGCACGCCCTCCATGGCCTCCTCGGGGCTACACGCGAGGGAGGCCCTAGGCAAGAGCAACCTTTGGTGCGCGCCGTTCGGGGGCCGCGGGGGGGCCAAACCCGAGAGCGCAAGACGCTGCTGCAGCACATCGCACTCAGCGATCGGGGGGGCCCCCATCGGCCCACACCAAAGGTCACTCCGGCGAAGGGAGGGGGAGGAGGAGGAGGGGGAGGAGGAGGGTGAGGGGGAGGGGGAGGAGGAGGAGGAGGAGGAGGAGGAGGAGGAGGAGGAGGAGGAGGAGGAGGAGGAGGAGGAGGAGCAGGAGCAGAGCAGGAGGAGGAGAGGAGGAGGAGGAGGAGGAGGAGGTGGCGGAGGAGGGACGAGGAGGAGGAGGAGGAGGAGGAGGAGGAGAGAGGAGGAGGAGGAGGGACCCTCTGACGTCCAGCAGATCCTCGATCAGGCGCAGCGCCTCCCCGCGCTTGGCCTCCCACGACTCGCGCGCGGCCACGCGCCGGAGGTTCGCGTGCGCGCCCCACGCGCGGGCGCAGCTCGCGTCCAGCTCGCGCGCCGCCGCCAGCCACCGCTCGCGCTGCCCCGGCGGCGCCTCGCGGAAGTGCGCCTCCGCGCCGCAGGCCGCGGTGGCCAGGTGCAGGACCTTCGGGTCGGGCGAAAGGGAGGGATAGCAGAGGGGGGGTTTGAGACTCAGCTCGTCGCGTAGCTGATTTTCCCGGCGCCTTCCGGCGCCGGAGGCGGCCAATGTATCGAGGAATGGGCCCCTCGGTGGGGCCGCAACCATGATGCAGCAAACTTCGTAACCCCCCTTTGCCAATCCCCCCCTTTCGTCTGGCCCGACTGGGGGGGCCGGAAGACCCGGGCCCCGTCGGGCGCTCCTCGTCGCCCCTCGGCGGCCTTCTAACCTCGGGGTGCCTTCCGGCGGCTGCGCCTCGCCGAAGCGTTCGGGGCGATCGATCGCCCCGAAAGGCAAGTGGACTCGGAAACCAGAGTCCGATCGAGTCATGAACAAATCACGACGGCAAATGTTCCACTATTTCCAGCCTCTGGGGGGCCTTGCCGGGTCTCGGGCCCAAGGACTCAAAAAAGGACTCAAGATGAAAAACCTCTCCTGGGAAATGGGTCGATGCTTCTGTCGGGGTCCACCAGAAAAGGGGGGGGGGACCCAGGGGGAGGGGGGAAATCGATCCGCTGGCGCATGGAATTTCCGAAAAAGGATGCCCCCCGCGCGCCCCGATTGTCGACGCCTCTCGGGTTCCGGCGGCGGCTGGAGACCTCGTTTTGCACTGGCTTTCTGCGGCTCGATGCGCCAGCGGACCGAACTCCCCCTCCCCCTGCACCCCCCCTTTGCGAGGTCCCGATCCTGGGGGGTCGACGCTACCGCTGCTCCCCAGACCTTTCCCGGCGTGCGTTCTGACTTTAGTGGGCCCCGGAAACGGCAGGTCCGTTTTTTCACCGCTTCCCGAAAAAATGTCCCTTGAAAATGGAAGCAATAAAAAAACGGCGACCCGAAACTGCAAAAAACCGGCTCCAGGACTTGAACTGGAGCCGGAACTGGTCAAACAACGGCGACGGAGCCGGTAAAAAAACGGCGCCGGAAGCGGCAACAAAAACGGCAAAAAAAACGGCACCAGTAACAAAAACGGCCCTGACGTTTCCAGGGCCCACGAAGGTTCTGACCACCATTTCCAGGCGGACCCACCGGTGGCCACGGGGACCTCCCTGCAGGAGGCCCCAGAGTGGCGAGAGCGAGGCCAGGGCCCAGGCCGACGTCGTGCTCACACATACCACGACGTCGACCCCCAGGAGGTCTCGACCCCTTCCCCGGGACCAGCTTGCCGTCCTGCGCCGCTGTCTGATGGACCCGAGGCCCGGTGAGGGCTCCCCTCGAGGCCGAAAGTGGCGATCCATAAACCTCCCGTCATGATTTGTTTGTCCGATGGCCCGAGGAGGTCTGGGCCAGCGGCATCGGTTCCTCTGTGGACCAGGTGGTACTGGCGCAGCACCGCCGCGCGCGAGGAGCCCAGGCGCCCCAGCAGCGCGTCGGTGCGCTCGGCGCCGACGTAGCCGTCCAGGTCGAGCTCCCCGCGGTCGCAGATCACCAGGGGCGCGCGGGCGCCGCCGCCGAAGAGCGCCGCCAGCTCCCGCGCCTGCAGCAGCTCCTCTCGGATAGGGGCGCCGACCCTGAGATCCCAGACCCCCCATGCACCCTCGGGTCGTGAGGCCTCTGGGGGGCCCTCACCGGGCCTCGGGACCGTCCAGACACGACTCGGGACGAGAAACTGGTTGAAGGGGCCCCAAGACACACAAATAAATACTCACAAATGATATTATTCCCCATGTCTTCCAATTTTTTGGGCAATTTTTGTCTTCCCCCCGACTTCCCATACTTTCCTGGGAGTGGACGATTAATTGTGTCTGTGTGGTTTTTCCCCTCCTGACTGGTCCCGGGGAACGGGTCGGGGCCGCTGGGAGCCGACGCTGCGGAGAACGAAGGGCGTCGGGGAGGCTCTGGAGGCCCCAGCGTCTCAGTTTGCTCGAGCCGGGAGTTGTTGTGCCCGGCCAGCTCGGGGCCACCGGGACCCTCACAGATCGCTGCGGCCCGAGAAGTGCAGCAGAAAGATGGGGTCCGCGGGGGTCTGGCAGCGATGCGTCACGGCGTCTCACTTGGACGCCCGACATGGGCACGGAAAGAATGGGCACAATGCCCAACAACAAATGTTGCCCCAAACCCACAGCGGCCGCTGTTGGGCAGGCGGCCTCCTGTCTAAAACGGGCACAGGCCGCGGCGGCGCGGACAGCGAGTCCTGTTCAAAATGAACAGGAACTGCTGTCGGTCTTTGTACCCATTCTTTCCGTACCCAAGTCGGGCGTCCCGATCTCAGTGTTTTCGCGACGTCGGATCTCAGGGGCGCCCGGCCCAGACCCGCTCAAGATACATCAGCCCTCCGGCATCCTGCCGGCCGGGGTCCGTCCCCAGACACGCTCGCGTCCTGCAGGAAAAAAATCGGCGGGAGGCGTTCGGCAATATATGCAACCACATCCAACGTGGGGGTCTTATTTTCTCTGCGCACACCCCGCACACGATCTCCTCTCCTCCCCCTCTCATCCTCACCATCACCATCACCAGCATCATCGTCGCTATCCTCAGCACCACAAGATCAGCATCACCATCATACTCATCATCATCGGCATCATCGGTAGTACCGTCGTCCTCAGCATTACCACCACTACCACCATCGCACACCAAAGCACCGTGTTCTCATGCACGTCGTCACCACAACAGAATCGCACAACCACCATGGCCGTCATCGCAATCGTATCCGCACCACCATCACCTATCACCACCACAACATGTTCCCCCCGTCGATATCCATCCCACAGAATCCCCTTGGTGAACACCCGAGCGCATGCCTCGCCTGCGAATGGACAGCGAAGGCACCTCGAGCGGGAGCCCCCTCCCTGTGGTGCCCGCAGGTCACGGATACTCTACCACGCACGGCTAGCACCTGAACACCCCAAGGGGACAAATCGAGAGGAAACCTCGGTCGGGGGCTTCGCCTGTCACTGAGTGGCAGGGAAATCTCAAGCGGACCCCCCCCCCCTTTGAGGCCCGCACTTCATGTTGCTAATCAGAGCGGGTCATCGGCATACTCTACCAAGCATACCACTTGAGCGCCCCAAGGGGCAGCTCGTAAGGATGTCCCAAGCGGCGACTGAATTGCGAGGAAGTCTCAAGCGCTGTGAACGAACGGCGAGGAAGATTCGACTTGGCACCCCTTCCTCGTGGGCCCCGCAAGTCACGCTCGCATTCGAGGCGGGCCATCGGCGTATGCTACCAGGCATTGTACTTGAGCGACCCAGGGAAGCAAAATGGCTGGAGCGGTGGCCTCGTCGGCTAACTGACGACGGGGACGGCTCGCCCGGGAGCCTCCTCTCTATGGGGCTCGAATCTGCTGTCCGCATCCACGGGTCATCTGAGTATGCGACCAGGCGCAGCAGTTGTGCGCCCCAAGGTGCCATATCGTGGGCATGTCCTGAGGAGTGGCCTCGAGCGAATGGCGTTGAAAATCTCAACCGGGAGCCCCCCACCCGTGGGGCCCGCAGTTCGTGTTCGCATCGGAGGCGGGCCATCGGCGTATCCTTGCAGGCATTGAACTTGAGCACCCCCATGAGCCACATCGGGAGTACATGGCGAGTCTCGACCGGGAGCCCCCTCCCTCTAGGGCCCGCGCTTCATGTTCGAATCCGAGCGGGACCACCTGAATCCTGTAACCGTCAAAACGCTTATGCGCGCCACAGGGCTGAAGACGAAAAAACTCGGAAGCTGGACATCCTCTCAATGGGGCCCGGGGCTCAACATGGAGGAAGTCTGAAGCGGGAGCCCCCTCCCGAAGGGTCGTCCCAACGGCTTCGCGATCCGGCTATTGGAAAAGGCGCGCGGCCGTGGCGGCGACGGCGCCTGAGAAAATCGACGTGCGTGCCCAGGCTAGGAGGAACCCGAGGTGCATGAGGAGAAGAGGCGGGAAGGCGGGGTGGGCAGACGGGGAGAAAGAGACAGAGAGAAATTGAGGAGACCAGCGTAGGAGGGAGAGAGAAATTGAGGAGGAGGAGGAGGAGGAGGAGGGGGAGGAGGAGGGGGAGGAGGAGGGGGAGGAGGAGGGGGAGAAGGAGGGGGAGGAGCAGGAGAAAAAGGAGGAGGAGGATCATACATTCAACGAAGATGACGAGAAGGACGAGTAGGAGGAAGAGGAGGCCGAGGAGGAGGCACATCAAAGGGCGGGGGGAGGGCCTCCGCCAGGGCGAACAGGAAAGAGCAAGAGGCAAGCAAAATAGATTATTGTGTGGGGTCCTACCGTCAAAATAATTGGCCTCTGCAGTGCCCTCACTGGGCCCCAGGGCCGTCAAGAAACGATGCCCCGTGAGAAAAACTGGACTTGGAGAAAGGGTCGGGACTTCCGGGGACCGCGTACAATCGAAACTGATATCAAGGATGCGCGATAAGGGTGCACGCCTTTTGGACGCCCATGTCGAATCTTTTCGAGCAGGTTTCGTCATCGAAAGTGGTTGAGGAAGAACCGAGGAGCAAGGATGCCATAGCACCCTTGGGAAAATCACCCATCCCTATCATCAGTGTCGACGGGACGTCGCATGTCTAGGTCAAGCCAAGCTTGGTTACAGGCAAAGGGGCATTTTCGCAAGGTGGTCACAAACCAAACAATGCAATAGCTCGTTCTTTGGCGCATGGTACGTGGCAGCCACGTGTTGATATTGTACGACGTGCGTATCCCGCACTGACGTAGAGAGAAAACATTATTCACGCTTCGCGTACCCCCACCCTCCCATTCAGAGACCCGGACCTTGAGAGCTCACGGGTCAAGGGGCGAAGAGACAAATCTAGTGAAACAGAACGAGCAACCAGGGTGAACAGAGAGATCTCTGGGAGCAAGGGGGCGGTCTTGGCGCCCTCTTGGGGAGCTCTTGGAGCCCTGTTTGGGTCTCTTGGGGCTCTCTCGGGAGCCCTGGAGCGCCTCTTGGGGCCATCTTGGAGGCTATCGCTCAAAGGAGGGGGGATCCAGATCTAGGTCCCCACCTGGGGCCCTCAAAACCGCCTCTTGGGACCTTTTGGGGCCCTCTTGGGGCGCTCTTGGGCGCTCTTGGTGCCGAGAGAGCGCCTGTGGGGCCCCTCTTGGAGCCTTCTTGGGCCATCTTGGGGCCATCTAGAGGCCCCCAAAGCGCATCAGAAGCGAAACGGCGAGACAGCACAAATCATACATGTTCCAGCAGAAAGGTGTTTGAACACAATTGGACTCTTGGAGGGGTCCTGAGGGGTCGCTGGGAGCACTTGGAACCCTCTTGCGGCCCTCTTGCGGCCTCTTGGAGACATGATGGAGGTCATCTTGAACGATCTTGCGCCTTCTTGAAACCATCTTGAACGAAAACGGGCCCTCTGATGACTCGCGGCCCCTCCCCAAAAAAGCCCTGGGAGGGGAGGGGGAGGGTACCCCTCCCCGAAGGCAAGAGGGGTTTCTTTGATGTTATCTGGTAGAGGAAAGCAAGATATCGTTTCACCTACGCCCAGAGGGCTGGTGGGATTCCACCCTCACAATAAGCATCCCGAAAAGCGAAGCCGATTAGCCAACGCGCCCAAGGCGACAATCGAACAGGGCAGGGCTGTTTGGTAAACGTGTTTGGTAAACGCCCAGGGCCGTTTAGCAAACGCCAGTTCTCGGGGTCGGGGTGGTCTTCTTCCCTCACGAACGACTGCACGAGCTGCAACGTACATGTGTGAGACCTCTCCTCCTCCTTCTCCTCCTCCTCCTTCTCCTCCTCCTCCTCCTCCTCCTCCTCCTCCCCCTCCTGCTCCTCCTTCCCCTCCCTGCCCTCCTCCTCCTCCTCCTCCTCCTCCTCCTCCTCCTCCTCCTCCTCTGCAGAGGCCCCATGAACCCGAATCTTGCCCGTGCTTCCGTGCGGCTCCGGCCGTGGAGGCGGGTGTCTCCCCAGAAGCCCCTCGAGGCCTGACAAAACATGGCGACGGGAAGGTTTTTCGCTCCTCTCGGCTTTTCGCTACCCTCGAGGCCTGACAAAACGAGGCGACGGGAAGCTTTCTCGCCATCTTTGAACTCTTCTCCTGTGGAGGGACGTGCCCGACTTCACACGATGGCGCCAAGGAAACGAGCGCGCAACCGGCGAAGCGACACGCCGCCCAAAAGTTCCCGGCTGCACTCGAGTCGGGCCGGGCGAAAGGGGGGGATAGCAAAGGCGGAGTTTGAGAATCAGCTCACGTAGCTGATTTTTTCCCGGCGCCTCCCGGCGCCGGGGGAGGCGGCCGCCGGGGGAGGCGGCCACGTATCGAGGAATGGGCCCCTCGGTGGAGCTGAAACCAGCTGCATGCAGCAGACTTCGTGACCCCCCCCTTTCCCTATCCCCCCCTTTCGTTCGGCCCGATACTCTGGGCCTCTGGGGGCCCTTGGCGGGGCCTCGGGGCCGTCAGCAAAGAGACTCAGGTCGAGAAACCAGCCTCGGAGGAGAGTCCAGACCTCTGAAAATCGTGACGCCAGGGGGGCTTCTCAGGAGCCCGCCCGGCTTCGAAGCAGCATTCTTCCCAGACCCCCGACGTCGTGATTCTTTCGCAACGCCGAGCCCCAGAGGTCTGGGCCCCTTCCCTGGGACTGGCTTCTCATCCCGAGTCGTTTTTTGACGGTCCCGAGGCCCGGTGAGGGCCCCCAGAGATCGAAAATATGAACAAAAACTCTCGTCGAGATTTTTTCGCAAAGCGAGGGAGTCTGGGTCAGGATTAGGTCGGGCATGTCCCCTTGCAGGCATATTTCGGGCGGAAAATGAAAAGTCAAAAAATACACAGAAAAAGACAACAATAGTATCAAGTCGGGCCTGTCCCCCTACAGGGGGATTTTGGGCGAAATCTTAAGGATACTCAAAACCGTGCCCCCCGAACGAGCAAAAGTAGTCAACAAATCGTCCCCTGACTATTTTTGAACTATTTTGGAGTATCCCTCCTGTAGAGGGACAGGCCCGACTTAACAATAGCAAGCAAATCGTCCCCATCTTATCTTTTGACGAATTTTGATGTCTCCCCCTTTAAAGGAACACGCTCGACTTACGGTTGGGCTCCGGAGCGGCTCGAACTATGCGTGCGCCACGACCGCCAGACTGGCTGCTGTTGCGCCAGCGTCGGAAACCTATACGTCGCCAGCGAAACTCCGAAGTGGCGCCGCACGTCGCCCGCGCACTGCTGGAGGCCGGGATTTGGGACAAAGACGCAAACCAGGGCCAGCGCACGGGCGACGCACGGGCGACGCACTGAACGAACCTTAGGGGGGGGGGTGGTCGTGCTGCTGGGCCGTAACACCGGAGCCTTCCGAGGAGGCCCCTCCCCGCCGCCAGGCGAGGCGCCTCCGCCCTCCTGGACGGCCGGCCCCCCCCCCCCGCTGCCCCCCCCGTGTGGGCGCCGCCTCTGCCTCGACGTGTCCCTCCTCTGAGGTCGGGCACGTCCTCCTGCAGGAGGACTTTCCCAGACCCCCTCGCGCTGCGAAAAAATCGCGACGGGAGTTTTTTTCAAATTTTCGGCCTCTGGGGGCCCTCGCTGGGCCTCGGGACCGTCACAAAACGACTCGGGATGAGAAGCCATTCCCAGGAAAGGGGTTCAGACCTCTGGGGGTCGACGCTGCGAAGAAATCACGACGTCGGGGGACTGGGTTTTTGGAGGATACAAAACAATGCCAGAATTGATCCAGAAAAGGGCGAAACAGACTCCAGACATCGTCCCCAGACGATCTGTGGACTATCTCGAAGGGGTCTGTGGCCCTCCTCCTCCTCCTCCTCCTCCTCCTCCTCCTCCCTCTCCTCTTCCTCCTCCTCCTCCCTCCGCCTCCTCCTCCTCCTCCTCCTCCCTCCTCCTCCTCCTCCTTCCTCCTCCTCCCTCCTCCCTCCCCTCATCGTCGTCCTCCTCCTCCTCCCTCCCCCTCCTCCTCCTCCTCCTCCTCCTCCTCCTCCTCCTCCTCCTCCGATCCTCCCTGTGCCCGCGCAGCAGCACCGCCTCCGCCTGCAGGAAGGCCTCCGGGCTCAGGCGCCCCAGCGCCGCCGGCAGCCCCTCCAGCAGGGTAAATGACGCGATCGCGCTGCAAGAAAATCCGGGCGGGAGGCTCCGTGGCTGCTTTGACAGAGGAGCGAAGAACGACATAAGCATAAAAACTCTCGGGTCGGGCGAAAGGGGGGGATAGAAAAAGGGGGGGGGTGAGAATCAGCTCGCGTAGCTGATTTCCCGGCGCCTCTGGCGCCAGGAGGCGCCATGTATCGAGGAATGGGCCCCTCGGTGGGGCTGAAACCAGCTGCATGCAGCAGACTTCGCAACCCCCCCTTTCCCACCCCCCCCTTTCGCCCGGCCCGGAACTCAGAGGTCCGCGCGGATTTCTCAGATCCGTCCTGGACCCAGCTGGCGGCGCCTCCGGCGCGGCCCCTGGCGCGCTCCGCGCGCCAGGCATGGGTGTCCAGTGCCGATCCGAGAAATCCGCACGGACCTCCGAGATTGCATATTTATGTCATTCTTCGTTCCCCTAGCAAAAATCAGGGCGGGAGGTGATTTTGGCTGCTTTCGGCCTCTGGGGTGGGGCCCCTTCGGGCGCCAGGACCGTCCACAAAATGAGCCTGGCGAAGGACCCAATCATATGCACATTGTGAGCACTGCAAGTGCGAGCATGATCTGAGGTGAAACTCCCTATGGGGCAACGCCCGCATGCGGGCTGTGCCGCTGGCGACTTCGGTGGAGCTCCCTGTGGTGCCACGGAATAAACTGTGAGAGGCCTGCCGAAAATGGAGCAACGCCTACACTCAAACTGTGCCACTTGGGCCTTAGCTGGAGCTCCCTGTGGGGCCACGTAACGTGTGAGGGGTGTGCCGAAAAGGGGGCGACGCCAACATGCGAACGGTGACACCTGGGCCTTAGTTGGATCTCCCTATGGGGCCACGAAACTTTTGAGTGGCGTGACGAAATGGGAGTGACGCCCACATGCGAACGGCGCCACTGGGGCCATAGGTGGAGCTCCATGTGGGGCAACGAGACGTGTGAGGGGCGTGCCGGACAAAAAAAGAATCGCTCACATGCGGGCTGTGCCACTGGGCCTCAGGTGGAGCTCCCTGTGGGGCCAGGAACTGTGTGAGGGCTGTGCCGAAAATGGGGTGACACCCACATGCGAACGGTGCCACTGGGGCCTTAGCTGGAGCTCCCGATGGGGCCACGAAACGTGTGAGGGGTGTGCCGAAACGGAGGTAACGATGCCGATAACGATCACGATGATGATGATGATGATGATGATGATGATGATGATGATGATGATGATGATGATGATGATGATGATGATGATGATGATGCTGATGATGATGATGTTGATGATGATGCTGATGATGATGATGCTGATGATGATGGTGATGATGATGATGCTGATGCTGGTGGTGGTGATGATGATGGTGATGCTGATGCTGATGATGGTGATGCTGATGCTGAGGATAATGATGATGCTGATGATGGTGATGATGGTGATGATGATGATGGTGATATTAATGATGCTGATGGTGATGCTGATGATGATGCTGATAACGACGATGATGATGACTGCTGATGGCGATGCGGATGATTACGATGATGCTGAGGCTGGTGAGACTCATGCTGATGATAATGATGCTGATGATGCTGATGATGATGATGCTGATTACGATGATGCGGATGCTGATGGTACTGATGGTACTGAAGATGATGATGATGATGATGATGATGATGATGATGATGATGATGATGATGATGATGATGATGATGATGATGATGATGATGATGATGATGATGACACGCGAAGAGCAGAGGCAGGGATGGGAGAAGGGAGGAGGGGAAGGAGGAGTGAGGAGTGAGGAGTGAGACGAGGGGCGCTGTCTCTTCAAAACGAGGACCATACACCACAGGATGGTTGAGAACAATTGTTCCTATTGCAAATCATCAGACATGGTATACTTGGGGTGATCTAGCAGCTGGCCGGTAGAACGGAATGCCTCACGGAGTGCTCCCCAGGAGCGGGACGAAAAACGGCATGTGAGACCTGGCAGGTGGGAGTGTGCCCAGGGGCGACCCAAACAAAACTCGATCATCCCTAGCATTGAAGTTGCGGGCCGCGCGGCGTGGCCCGCTTCCTAGCCGATCGGTTCCTCAGGCTGTGGTGCACGGTCCTGCACGGGCATCTGGTCTTTGTCGCAGCGCTCGTCAGCTCCGAGAAGAGTCACCCCCTTCACCGTCAGCAGAAAAATTAAAGAGAAAACTGGACCCCAGGGATGAGAATTCGGGGCTCCCGAGGGCCCCGCATGGAACACATCAGGACGTCGCATGTCTGGGACTATATATAGACGCCCCCTCCTCCGGGAAGTGGAGCCCCCACGGACCATGGGCCCCCCCAGAACGTTACATGGGCTCTACGAGACACCCGGATGCGTCCCAGCCCCCCGTCGATCCTCGATCCTCCCTCCTCCTGGACCCGCGACCTCCGGGAGATGAGCCCGTGCCCCCCCCCCTGGTGGTGACCCCCCTTCTCCAGACATCCTCTGGCATGATTGTGGCTCTGACCCTCCAACTCTTCCTCCTCCTCCCTCCTCCTCCTCCTCCTCCTCCCTCCTCCTCCTCCTCCTCCTCCTCCTCCTCCTCGTCCTCCTCCTCCTCCGCGGCCCCATATCGGAGATCTACTGACCTGGGTCCAACCAGACCCGGGTCAGTCATGGTCCTGCGGGATCCTCCCCCCTAAACCCGGGTCAGTGCGCCCCTGGCCCTGCAGGATCCTGCAAGATCGGGCGCTCTGATTCACCCCCGTATACATTGACCCCCGTGTCTGTAAGTCTCGACCGTAAACCCAATCCTTTCCCCGGGGATAGTTTCCTGGCGCCCCACATCCGTGCTTGGTGGCCCACAGGCCCGACCACGAGCCCCGCCAGAGGCCGACCTCGAGGAACAAAACGCCCGCAGATCACAAAACAGGCATGTCTTCAGAGGTATGGGCCAATCTCCAGAGGAGCTGGTCAAGCCCTCTCTGGTGTAGGGGGCCACATGCGAACCCTACCCCTACCCCCCACGATTTCCGAGGGGGAGGGTGGGGTTCACTTCGTTCGGGAGCTCCCAAGCGAAGTGAACCCCACCCTCCCCCTCATAAATCGTGGGGGGTAGGGGTAGGGTTCGCATGTGGCCCCTCTCTGGTAGTGACCCCCCTTGGCACTGCCCCGCCTCCCACAGCTTGGTGGCCGCCTCCCTGACCACGAAGAGCGGCGCTCCGCCGGGGGGCTCGCGCCGCAGCCACTCCTGGGGGGACAGGACAAAGCAGGCGCCGATACCGCCACTCCCCGGGCCTCTCCTGGGGCGCGCTCTGACAGGCATTCCGTGGAAGATGGAGGAAGGGAAAGGAGCAGGGCGTCAACGACGATGAAGGACTCGGATCCAGAAGTGTGGCCCCGCGGGAGCAGTATCCTGAAACGCCGGAAACGTGTGTGTATATATATTTATATATATGTGTATATATATAACGAATATCCTGTCAAACACCTCCTTTTGCCATCACACACGCTGAACAAAACAAGAAACGGTATGCGGGAGAAACGGGGCCCCTTCGGACAGGATCTGGCCGTGCCGACGAGGACCTCCCAGGAGGCCCCGAACAGAGGCGGACAGAGGAAGGGCAAAAGCAGCAATCGGTGTCGAGTCCCTCCCCTACCTCCGTCCGCGCAGCTGCCTGGCGATGCAGCGCGCCTGCAAGCGCGTGGCATTGCTCCCCCCATCAGCCCCAAAAGAGCAGCCACAGATGGCCCAAAGAGGCCCCAGAGACGGCCCGCGGTCCTCAAGACGGCCCAGGACGACCCCAAGAGAGCCTCAAGGCGGCCCCGAGAGGCCCCCAAGACGACCTCCGAAGGGCCAGACGGCGCAAGAGCGCCCCAAGACGGCCCAAGACGTTTCCAAGAGGCCTCACAGAGGCCCCTAAGAAAGGGGCCCCAAGAGGCCCCCAAGAAGCCTCCAAGAGGCCCCCAAGAGGCTCCCAGGAGTTTCCACAACGACTGGACTGTACGCGGTCTGGACGTGCACCCCGCGAGGCGAGAGGAATCGGTATCGAATCCTTTCCCCCCAGACCTCCGACGCCATGAGTTTCTCACTTCCTCGACCCCGCGAGGTCCCGACCCGTTCCCTGGGATGGGCGTTTCATCCCGAAGCGTTTTGTTGACGGTCCTGAGGCCAGAGGCCTGGTAAGATTGAGGAGGGACCGACCGTCCGGGCATTCCCATAGGCCTACCACGCCATGTTCGCAGAACCCCCAAATGCTCTAAGAACAAAAAGAATGGTCTTCGAACATAAAAACCGATGTGGAAAACGAGACAGTCCCGGCCAGGAACTGTTCTCTGAGAATCCCCCGTGGAAACCACAAAAAAAAAGCTTCGTAGAACATGGCTCGAAGGTGGACAAACGTCCCTTCGGTAAACCTCCCTTTCGGGAAAACGGCCTGGGACCGAAACCGACGGGCCTGGACCCGCAAAAATGACGGCCGCGACGCCCTCTCGCGACCCGGAAACGGCCAACTCACTACTCCGGATTTCGTAATAAAAGGGAGGGGGTCTCGTTTCGGGGGGGGGAGTCTCTTCCAGGCTATCTTGGAGGGCCTGGGGGGCTCTGGAGACGATGCTTTGGGGGTTCTCCCACGGGGGAGGGTCTGAAATGGCTTGTCCTGGAGGGTCCAGACCCCCTCCCTGTTCTTACGAAATCTGGAGCGATCGACGCGTCAGGGCAGGAGGTCTGCCCAACCCCGACTGGGTGCGGCAGACCTGCGGGCACGCCGGGACGCTCTTCGCCGCTGCGCGGCAACCAGCGTCCTGCCTCCCTCCTCCTCCTGCCTCCCTCCTCCTCCTCCTCCTCCTCCTCCTCCTCCTCCTCCTCCTCCTCCTCCTCCTCCTCGAGGCCCCTCCAAGGGGCCGGCGGCACGCTTGGCCGCCGCAGGCGCGGCAGGAGGCAGGCCGCACGCGCGCTCGCGGGCGGGCCAGGCAGCGGCTGCTGCTCCTCCTCCTCCTCCTCCTCCTGCCTCCTCCCTCCTCCTCCTCCTCCTCCTCCTCCTCCTCCTCCTCCTCCTCCCCCTCCTCGACCTTGGATGACGATGATCGGCACACTTCTCGCAGCGCGAAGCGCATGAATGGCTGGCCCCCGCCCGTGGAGGTCGGGGACCAGGCAGCGGAGGGCGCAAACTGGCCGGCGGCAGAAGGAGGAGGAGGAGGAGAAGGAGGAGGAGGAGGAGGAGGAGGAGGAGGAGGAGGAGGACGACGAGGTCGAGGAGGACGAGGAGGACGAGGAGGACGACGAGCCCATGTTCTTTCAGTCTGTGCGCCCCAGGGGCAGGGTCCTCCGGGCGGAAGCGGCAGCGAGGGGCAGTGGATGGACAGTATGTGTGAACCCTTGCGCAGGCGAGGAAGACTCTGAAGCACCCCCACGCGCGCCTGACGCCAATGGTGATCTCAATATAGAAGGGGTGCAGTGGGGTTCGAATAGTTCTGTCCACTCAGGCCCCCCCCTCACGGCCCCCCACCCCCCGTCGTCACTCCATCGACACGAATCGGCTACACGCAAGAGTGACCCTGGGTAAGAGTGACCTTTGGTGCGCGGCTTTTTGGGGGCCGCGGGGGGACGAAACCTGGGCGCGCAAGCCGCTGCTCCTGCTTCCCTTTCAGCCACCTGGGGGCCCATCTGTGCCCGCAGCAAAGGTCACTCCGGCGAAAGGTCACTCCTGACGTCTAATCGAATGAATTTCGGCGGGTCTGGGGGGGGGGGGGGCATCTTGGGGCACGGGGTTCGAATCTGATGACCACGCACGGGAGGGAGAGGGAGGGGAGGGCCGAGCGCCGAAACTGGCAACAGCAAACCAGCGCACGCCGCGAGTTGCTTCGGGACCCGAGGGCCCTGAGAGCCGACGCTGCGGAAAACTTGCAGCATCGCAAAGAAAAAAACACGCCCAGGCCCCCAGACCCCATCTATATATGTATATATGTATATATATATACGGCAGGTTCGTGTCGTGCCGACCCCAGCGTTGGTTTTTGACACCGCAGGGATCGTTCAACCTTGAACGATCGGCCGCTGCCGCAACGTCCGATCGTTCAACATCGATCGATTCTGGGTCGCCGGCGGCGTTCAACCTTGAACGTCCGCGCTGGGGTCGCCGCTGGTCGACACGACGCAAACCTACCGTATATATATGTGTGTGTGTGTCCTTCTTTCGAGCCCGATGGATCTGTGAGGACCCCGGGGCCTGCGATCGAGCGAAACCGCCCGTTGTGAAAAAAAAAGCAACGCCAGGATCTGGAGTCTAGAGGCCTCCCAGATGGGGTCGAGTTTGATGGGGTCGGAGGATCGCGCCGCGTCGCCGATACATCGCCGATGCATCGGCGATACATCGGTTGGCAACGGATCGGCGACGTCGGCGGTGCATCGGCGACGTCGGCGTGGAGAAATCGAGCTCCACATCCAGCCGCATCGCCGATGCATCGGCGATACGGCGCGATCCTCCGACCCCATCTACTCCAACCCCTTCTGAGAGGCCTACCTTTAGGTCGGGCCTGTCCCCTACAGGGGTGCTTTGGGCGAAAAATAACACGTTTTAAGAAACACAAATGCCCCCACATACGAAAACAAAATGCGAGAAACATCGGTCCTGGACTACTGTTCTACTCTTCTTGAACACTCCTCCCGTAGACTGTGGAGGGACAGGCCCGACTGAGGCCTACCTAGAGGATTCCAGGGGAGACCCGGGCCTCCCCGCAGGCTCCAGCAGCGCCGTCTTGCCGCCCCCCGGCCCGCCCGTGAGCAGCACCACGACGCACTCCGCGGGCGGCCCGGCCTCTCGGGGTCGGTCAAGAGGGGGGCGTCCAAGAGGGGGGGGGGGGGGCGCAGACCATGGCCAGTGGCACGTGCGCGGCTCCGGGACGTAGTGAAGAAAGAAGGGGCGCCATGAGATCAGAGGATATATCATGGCCCACGCCATGGTGTCCATCCCCCCCCCCCCTAGTCCCCATGTTGTTTTTTTGACTCTTTTTGAATAGATTCCTCCTGTAGAGGGACACGCACGACTTGAGCGTACCTGGAGGACTTCGGCCCTCCCCGCAGGGCTCCAGCAGCGCCGTCTTGCCGCCCCCCGGGCCCGCCCGTGAGCAGTGCCACGACGCGCCTAGGGGGCCTCATGCGAACCCTACCCCTACCCCCCACGATTTCTGAGGGGGAGGGTGGGGTTCACTTCCCTCGGGAGCTCCCGAACGAAGTGAACCCCACCCTCCCCCTCAGAAATCGTGGGGGGTAGGCCTACGTAGGGGTAGGGTTCGCATGTGGCCCCCTAGCGCCCCCCTCTTGGCCGCCCCCGAGCCTCGAGCCCGGCCTCGCCGAGCGTGGGCGGCGCCGGGCCTGCCTCGCCGGCGCTCGGCGCCGCGCGCTGCATGGCGCTCGGCGGCGCGGTCGGGGGCCCCCGGGCGCGCTCGCGTCTTGTCGGAGCTCAGCCGGGGGGGGGGGAGGAGGGCAAGCAGGAGGGGGGCCCAGAGATTCAGCGCATGGAAAAAAGCAGGACGGAGGTTTTTCGCCGTTTTTGGCCTCTATATATAGAGGCCCTCCCCGGGCCTCGGGGCCGCCAAAAAACGACTCAGGACGAAGAGCCAGTCCTGGGGAATGGGTCGAGACTTCCGGGGACGCGGTAAGTATTGAAAAAAACACGGCGCAGGATCTCTGGGGGAGAACGAAGGCAAGGGCATTTTGCTTCGAGAGGATGCAAGCCGAGCTCGCGCTGATGAGGAGGAGGAGGAGGATGAGGAGGAGGAGGAGGAGGAGGAGACGGAGGAAGAGGAGGAAGAGGAGGAGGAGGAGGAGGGGGAGGAGGAGGAGGAGGAGGAGGAGGAGGAGGAGGCGGAGGAAGAGGTGAAGGGGCAAGGGCGCTGTGCGACGGTCCCCCGCGGCCCACACGGCCTCTGACATAACATGAATTTGACGCCCGAGTTATCCGGGGTAACTCGGGTCCGGGGTAACTCGGGTTTGGATCCCCGCAAAAACGAAGCCGAGTTAGCCCTGACCTGAGTTACCCCTGATGATTTGGAGCCCTGGACGCCCGAATGACCCGGGGTAACTCGGGCCCGGGGCAACTCGGGTTCGGAATCCCGAGAAACGAACCCGAGTTGGCCCTGACCCGAGCTACCCCTGATGATTCGGGGCTCTGAATGAACCATCCTGGCGGCGGACCTGGCCCCTAATTGCGGCCGCGAGCGCCGCGAGGCGGGCGAGACGAAGGAGGAGGGCCACGGCACGCGTGAGGGGTGTGCCGCCGTGCGGACGCTGCCACTGGGGCCTTCGCCGGAGCCCCCGCGCGGTCGAGCAGGGACCGACCGTCCCGGCATTCCTATATTGGGCGCCCGAGTTATCCGGGGTAACTCGGGCCCAGGGTAACTCGGGCTTGGACTCCCGAAAAACGAACCCGAGTTACCCCTGATGATTCGGGGCTCTGGACGCCCGAATGATCCGGGGTAACTCGGGCCCGGGGCAACTCGGGTTCGGATTTCCGAGAAACGAGCCCGAGTTGGCCCTGACCCGAGTTAGCCCTGATGATTCGGGGCTCTGGCTATAGTCCTACCACGACATGTTCTCAGAACCCCAAAACATGTTCTGATAAGAAAAAACACGGCTCTTAGAGCAGAAGCCCGGTGTGATAAAAACAAGACGGGCTCCGCCGGACACGTTCTCCAAGAACATCTCGTGGAAATCACAGCAAAGGTTCGTAGAACATTGTTTGGCAGCCAGGACGCTTCGCCACTGCTTGATGCGGGGCCACGAGGCGTGAGGCGTGTGCCGACGCGGGTGCGGCGCGTGGCGCTCGGCGGGGCGGTCGGAGGCCCAGGCACCTCTCGGGCGTCCCCGCGGATACTGGGCGGCCGTCCGGCCTCGGGGCGCCCTCCAGTGGCTGCGCCTCGCTGGGAGCAGTGAGGAGGAGGAGCAGTTAGGAGGAGGAGGAGGAGGAGGAGGAGGAGGAGGAGGAGGAGGAGGAGGAGGAGGAAGGGGAGGAGGAGGAGGAAGGGGAGGAGGAGGAGGAGGAGGAGGAGGAGGAGGAGGAGGAGGAGGAGGAGGAGGCGGAGGAGGAGGGAGAGGGGGGCGATCGATCGCCCCAGACGGCCACCTGGCTAGCGAGCTGCGGCCCGAGAACAAGCTGGCTGCGCCTCGCCGAGGGCGTTCGGGGCGACCAAGCGCCCCGAGCGGTCACAGGGGGGCGAGTTATGACCATCCAGCCAAGCCCTGGTCGAGTCATGGAAAACACGACGGGAGGTTTTTCGCTGTCTTATGCTTCGGGGCCATAAAAAAAAACGACTCGGGATGAAAAACGGGTATGGGTCGAGACATCTGGGGGTCGGCGTTATCAAACAAATCATGACGCTGGGGATCTGGGCATGCAGCGTCCTGCAAACATCAGAGCGGCTGTCTCTCTCTAATTTTTCGGTTTCTGCGGGCCCTGACCAGGCCCCGGGGCCGTCAAAAAAGGCCCGGGACGCAGAAGTGGCCCTGGCGGAAGTGCGATCCGACGTTGCAGCAGAAATGAAACCTTGCAGAACACCACGAACGGCTCGAGACCCGGCCTCCATCTTCCTGCTTCATTTCTCGAAGCGGCTCCATCCGTGAGGGTCCTGGGGCCCGAAACTGGGCGAGAGCGCCCGCGGTGAAAGGACTGCAGCGCCAGGGCCTCAGTCGGGAGCGGCCCAGAGGGGGGTGTCCAAGAGGGGGGGTGCAAATCATGACCGGCGGCACGTGCGCGGCCCAGCGGGGGGGCCAGGCACGTAATGAAATAAGAAGAGGCGCCATGAAACCTGGGGAAATCTCATGGCCCCGCCATGATATCCACCCCCCCCTAGTCCTCACCTCCCTCTTTTCCGCCCAAGGCAGGGGCCTCCTCCTCCTCCCCCTCCTCCTCCTCCTCCTCCTCCTCCTCCTCCTCCTCCTCCTTCCCTTCTTCCTTCCTTCCTCCCCCCCTAGTCCTCACCCCCCTCTCTGCCGCCCCCGCCTCAGGGGCCTGGGATCGCAGCGGGCGCGACGGGGCGGCCTCGCCCGGGGCCGCTCCCGCCCGCGCGGCACCGACCTGCCCCCATCCAGCGACGCAGACCCCCCGACGTCGTGCGCTGTTCAGCACGTCGCTCCCCCGGGAGGCCTCGGCCCGCTCCCCGCGGGCCCCGCTCTTCATCCCGCGTCGGCTCATAGAAGCGGCCCCGAGGCCCGGCACGGGCTCCCCGAGGCCAGAGAAACGGCAAAAAAAAACTCCCGTCGCTCTCTTTTCCATGACTCGATGGGGGGGGGTCCAGGGAGCCCGCGCTGTGCCCCACCGGGGCGTGGATGGGGGGCGGGAGCGGCGGCGGCGGCGGCTGCTCCCTGAGAGGGGGGCAGGTGGCGCGCCTCGCGACGGTGCGGCGGCCGAGCAAGGACAGGAGGAGGGGGAGGAGGAGGAGGAGGAGGAGGAGGAGGAGGAGGAGGAGGAGGAGGAGGAGGAGGAGGAGGAGGAGGAGTGAATGGGAGGGGGAGGGGGAGCGGCGGGGGCGGAGGAGCATCAAGAGGCGCAGGAAGGAGGAGCATCGGAAGAAAAGGAAGAGGAGGAGCAAGAGGAGGGGGCACAGCGTTCCGGCATTGGTCTGTCCTCCTGAGCCTCAGATAGGCTCGACTCGCCTCGGCTCGAAATCACAATCTGCCAAAGGACGCATGCCTCCAGCATGTCTCTCTGACGCCTGCGCGGCGGCGGGGAGACCTGCTGGAGGAGGAGGGGTGGAGGAGAAAGAGGAGGAGGAAGAGGAGGAAGAGGAGGAGGAGGAGGAGGAGCGGCAGGGAGAGAGACGGGGAAAGCGGATCTACCGAATGCCTCCCACCTCTCGGGGTGTTCCGGGGGCGGGCCCAGCTCCTGCGCTTTCGTCCTGTGAAACTTATAGAGCAGTTCGACACCGCGAAGCACGAACTGCACCCACGGCAGCTTCGTTCCAGCCGCGCCGGCTGGGATGGAGAGGAGGGAGAGGTGTGTGTGTGTGTGTGTGTGGGGGGGGGGGGCGAACCTCAAGAGCGAGGCGAGGAGAAGAAGACGACGCTGGGTGATGAGGCGCTCTAGGCATGGCAGGTCTGGCGCCTGCCTCGCGCTCAACTCGCTGCCATGGCCCGTCGCTCGGGATCTCGCGGCGTCCGCGATGCGCCTCGCGCGCCTCCGTGCCCGCATCCGCCGCGGCCTCGCGGGCCGGCCACCCGACCCCGCGGATGCGGATAATTACGGAGCGTCTTTTCGCGGGTGCCCCGCGCGGGAGGCCTCCGCGCGACCGCGCATCCGCGGGATCGCGCCCTGGGAATCCAGACCGCGAGGGTGTGGAGGCAGGCATGTTCGCCACCCGTCAGGGTGAGGGGCAAGGAGGAGGTACGGAGGAGGAGGAGGAGGAGGAGGAGGAGGAGGAGGAGGAGGAGTAGGAGGAGGAGGAGGAGGAGCGCACGTCGCCTGGGAGGGGGCACGTCTGACGTCCAGCCTCAGCCAAGAGCGACGATCGCGGCGTGCCTCGCACGCAGTGTAGAATTATAGTTACCTTCGAGGCGGGGTTGCTGCTGAAGTTCAGCACGGTACTTGTGATGAATATGGAACGCCACAGCGGTGAAATAGTTCGCACGCTCTTGAGAGATGGGGTCGCACTCCCTGGCTGCAGTCTGATCGGAAGCAGGGCCAAGCCCTAGACGTATCATCGGGTCACTAGGGATGATAGCACGAAAGAGTGTGAATAGGTGGGCGAGACGGGGACACAACACATAATGGCTTATAGAGTCTGGGGCCGGCACCTCACGGCCCTGACATTCGCGAGCGCAGCCGAAACGACAGCCCCTGGAATGAGAATCCCCCACCCGGGCAGACGTGACCCAGGCCCCCGCGAGCGTTTTCAAATAGGCCCAGGCTCGTGAAGGCGCCGCCTTCCTGACTTCCTGAGAACATCACGAGGCATAGCCCACCGCTCCTTGAGCTCTGGCCGTCTGATGGGGGGTCGATCGGGGAACCACTTGCCAAAATCGAATCTCCAGAAGATCAGGGATGACGCCGGGAAAGAGGGAGGAGCAGGGGGAGCGGAGGAAGACCGTCTGAGGCCGTGGTCCAATCTTCCTGGAGCTGCGGCGAACGCCGTGATATTCTAATGCATTTTGAAAAGTCCGGGAAGCGTTGCTGCTCAAGTTAACTCCCCCGCTCCAGTGCCCCCCCCCCCGCTCCGCAAGGAAGACCAATCGCGGCTGCCTTAGCCCGCGCGAACGCGCCCTTGGGAATCGCACTTCTGATGGGCAGGATATCGAACGAGGCATAATGTTCAGTGATCGTCTGACGCCGAATCCAGAACCTAGGCGACCACTTGTTGCTGATAAAAAGTCTGAGAAATCCGCGGGCATGAGCCGCCTCGTGGAGCCGTTCCCGACAAGCCCTCCGCCCCCCGAACGGGCGCTGGTCGGCTCTCCGCGCGGCGGCAGGGCACGACAGACTGCGAGGGACAGGAGCAGCGCTGGGCAACCAACGCCCACTGCCCATCAACTCGGCAACTCGGGACGAGTTCGGCGGCATCCTCAGCAGCTCGTGGAGGGCCAACCCCTCCTCGAACAAAAGCTTGGGGTCAGGAGGGGAAAGCTGCGAAACGTGGGAGAGACAGGGGAGGATGGCCGCGAGATAGAGATGCAGCGCAGCCTCGGAAAGGGGCCCTGGTCGAGTGCACGTCCCGGCATCTGCCCCACCATTTTTGCCCAGGGCCCTCCAACTGGTTGGGGAGATACTCTGAGGGCACGAGCATGACTCCGAGATATTTGGCGGCTCCCTCGATGTTGAAGCTCTCCCATCCCGGTGCATGCACAGCGAGGGCGGCGCGGGCCTGCTCGCGAACGTGCTCATCGCATTCTGCCCAGAGGGGAACGAAGCAGTACTTCTGCATTTGCAGTTCGAGGCCCGCGAGCGCGTCAGCCCTCTGGACAGTATGGTGACGATGTGATGTGCTACGAATGTCCATGGCGACAGCTCCAACATCGCCGGCGCAACCTCCAAAGGTACCCTCGTCTTCCGTCGGGAATGCCTCGCACAAGCATCGGACCCACGGATCGAATCCCAACGCCCAAAGACTCCCAGACAGAGGACACCCTTGGGGAACGCCTGGCGTGATGGGAAAAAGAAACACTAGCATTTCTCTGACACGCGCATGTCCTGTGGAGTTATGGGCAAGCCCGTCGAGCAAAAACGTGTAGGAGGCAGGGAGAGCGAAACGACCGACAGCACGACGAAGGAAGAGTCGAGGCATGCTCGGGAAGGCAGCCTTTACGTCAAAGCTCAAAAACCCAGAGCACCTCGTGTCCGCCCCGGGAAGGAGGCCCGCGCGCCAGGATTTGGCGTCGAGCGCGATGATGTGTTCACCGAACCGCCTTCCGCGGACGAAGCCTTTTCTGAGCCCTATGGGTATCCCCAGCAACGACTCCGGATATGTGAAAGTTAGGGAATCGGCGTTCGCTTTGCTGTCAGAGTTCTCTCAAGCCAGTGGGTGGGTGCACCCAGGGGCACGAGCGCATTCGATCAGATCGGTGGCCTCCTCTCCTCTTCGGGAGGAAAGGCAAGAAGACAAGATTTGAAGTGCTCGGGTGGATGGGAGCCAGCCGGCATCTGACACAGAACGCCAGGTAAGACTTCTGTGAGAAGTGGGTGTCCCCGCCACGCTCGCACAGGGAGCATGCCGGGCCCTGGTGGGGAATCGCGAGCCCGCCGGAAGGCGAGGCGGAGATCGCCGAGGGAGGGAAGAGGGAGGGAACAATTATCAAGCTGTGGCATGTACTGGTCCAGCAATGGGCCGATCAGCTGTTCCTGGGCAGGCGGCTCCGTGAATTCTGGCTGCCCCTGCTTTCTTGCAGCTCATCAAGCATCGACGGCATGCTCTCTCGCGACAGCCTCTGTGTCTTCGCCTTGCCCCGCAGGCTGTGTATGGCGAATTCCTGACAGCACCAGAGCGCATTCTGTAGGGTTCCACAGCAACGCCATCTTGATTATGACATCCGCTGCTCGCCCAGGGAGGGCGTTCAAGATTATCGTCACGGCTTTCCCGGCGAAGGCGTTCATGGACAGGCTCTTCTGAGGATGACGTCTGCGGCATATTGTTGCTGGCGGAATTTCCTTGTCGTTCCTGGTTCGATTCTCGTAGCCGCGGCTGGAATTCGTGTTTTCAGTGTAAGGAACCTTGCCGGGGTCTCCTGGCAGCGGAGGGAGGGCATTGGACCTGCCGGCGGGGACCGCCGCGGCTTCGCGCTCGAGGAGCTGCGCCTGCGCCCCCCGTGCCGGCGCGTGGCACTCGCCGGGGCTCCTTCGGGTGGACGGCGCCGTCACCGATGCCGAGCTCCGCCGCGCCGAGGGGGGTGGCATTGATGAGCCTCAAAGGAGCCAGGCGTCTTGGCGCCAGGCAGCTCTCGCGACCGAGTTGCGCGTCAGCCGCCGCGCCTGGGTAACCAGACGCGTCCCGACCTGCCCTGAGCTGCCGCTGTCGTTCACCAACGCTTTTGCCTGAAGTTCGTTGCGAGCGAGCTCCGCAACTCCGGAACTAACGTCGTCATGTCCTTGACGATCTGCCATTGCTCGTGGGTCGGCTTGAAATCGATGCGACAGCCGTCCAGACAATTGGCCAATATCTTCTTGTACTCGGGACTTCTGCAAATGAGGGCGTGGATCTTCCGTTCGTGCTTGGGCGTGCCCTTCCGCATCTGCATCCGCAGCGTGAGGACTGCATGGTCACTGAGCTTCTGCGTGTCCATCGAGACGGCATCGCTCATCACCTGGAGGTCGCACCCAGTCTCCACCGCGAAAGGCGACGAGAGCGACACGAGGATCCAGTCGATCGTGCGCAGCGTGCCAGCGTCCTTCGTGAAACGCGTGGGAAGCGGCGAGCACACCTCCAGGATGTGAGGATTGCCGAAGATGCCCTGCCTTTTTGTTACCAGTCCTCGCTGGGCGTTGCCTGTCTGAGGATGAAGGCGCTCGGCGCGGGCGCCGAGCAGCACGAGCCGCGTCGTGGCGAGGCGCTGGCGGAAATCAAAGAGGGGAGCTCCCGCCTGCCGCGAGGAGTGCCTCGCGCTCGCTGCGGCAGCGCTCCCAGGCCAGGGGCCGCCGCCCTCGTGAAGATGTCCCGCCCAAACGGTTCCGACCGACTGGCGCGCCCTGCGCCTGACCGCTGGGCCTGCCGCGGCGCGCGGACACGGGAACGGCCCCGCGAGGGCACGCCGGCCGTCACGCGGAAGCCGCCAGCTGCCACGAAAGCCCGCTTCAAAGGATCCTTCTGGGCCCACTGCGCCGCTTCCTGCCATGCCCGCCGGATGCGTTCCTTCCCGTAGTCTCGGGTCGGGCGAAGGGGGGGGATAGCAAAGGGGGGGGGGTTGGGGAATCAGCTCACGTAGCTGATTTTCCCGGCGCCTCCCGGCGCTGGAGGCGGCTGTGTATCGAGGAGTGGACCCCTCGGTGAGGCCGAAACCAGCTGCATGCAGCAAATTTCGTAACCCCCCCTTTCCCAATCCCCCCCCTCTCGTGCGGCCCGGTATTCGCTGACTGTAAAGTCGTGGATGTTCATGAACTGCGCTGCGCACTGAGTGCGCGGGTTGGCGATCGTCGTGGCGACGGCACGGCCGTGCTCCAGCGCCCGATGTTGGATCGTAGCGAGAGCCGCGCGGCCCGCAGGAGGAGGAGGAGGAGGAGGAGGACGTGCAAGGGTGAGGGGGTGCACAAAGGCACAATGAGAAGGACAACGAGGAGGAGGAGGAGGAGGAGGAGGAGGAGGAGGACGCGGAGGAGGGTGCACGGGGGCATGCGGCGAGGAGGGGAACGTCGTACAGGGGCTAACATGGGAAATGCCCACTGGGACGCGCATGCCCCACAGCTTTCCTGGAGCATCCTCGCAGACCTGGCCGCTTGCAAAACAAAACAAGACCCTGCAGTTCCATGCGGGGGCACGCGCCTGCTCACCTGGCCCTGTGTTACGTCTGCTCGCGAACTCGATGGCTGATATCCACAATGTATGTATGGAATACAGTTATATATGTATAAAATGCATTCGCCTGGTTGACCGATTGCCTTGTTCCTTCAGCCTTCGTTGAAACTTTGACTACACGGTTCTCCCCCGTCTCACTGTGACTTCCCCCAACACCTCCTTCTGATTACGTGCGCCGGCCGTCCAAGGTATCCCTGCAAATGGATTCAGCACGCGCAGTGATGACGCAGGTTATGGGGAATGGGAGAGCGGCAAAGCGGTGGCTTGCAAGGCAGGCCCAGTAAGGCCATGCACGGCATTGGGTGGCAAGGAGCGCCAGGCAAGAAAAGGTGTTCACGGCAACGTAGATGAGAAGGACGGCGAAGCAGAATACAATGAGCTTCCCTTATGCCGCGAACTTGCAGATCTCACAGCAACAACGCGGCTCGGAGTGGGGACTGAGTGGCGGGAGGGCTAGTAGGCAGGGGCAGCCAAAGGCGGAGAACGCATGCTAACACACACCCGGCTATATGGACACACGCGTGTAAGGTGGGGTGCTCTCTGAGTGCTGGATAAGCCCTTCAGTGCCATGTTTCTAGATTCGGCAGTCCTCCTCGCGTCGCGTGGCTTCGCTCTCAGACAGGCTGTGGGCCGCCTTCTGCTTCAGCTCCTTGAACTCTTTCTGGACAGTGAACCTGGCGTGCGCGGAGAAACGGGAGGAGAAGGGCGACACACAAGACCAGGAGGCTCTGCCATACAAAACCATGGAGGAGGCAGAGGAGAACGAAACCTGCCACCGGCAGGAAGGAAAACTAGGACGGAGGGCGGAATGGGGGGAAACAAGGCCACTCTGGGATGGCACCCCAATCACAACCGGGGTACGAGGCAGAGAACGGCGGGGCCGCCGAAGCCGTATAGGTCTACACACCCCCAATGCTGATCATTCCTGGCACTGTTTACCTCTGTCTGTCCTTGGCGGGCCATATGCCAGAACGGACTGCGGTGAGGGTGTTGGGTAAGAAACCATTCGATGAGGAATCCAGGGTCTGGAAGGTCTGGAAGCCAGTGAAACTCCAATCGTGGAGTGGCCATGGATACCACCACCGCCCTCATTGGATAAGGACCCCCAAGTTCTGAAGCCTCCTGGGTCTACTCCTCACCGAACGCCCCCGCCGTAGCAAACACAGGGCGTAAGTTGGCACAGCAAAGCTTAGCCTCCCCTTGAAGCATCACGAGCGCACGGTGTGCAGAAAGGGGCAGAGCAAGCGTTGGGGGCGGCTGCACGCGCACCCTGCCCCGCCGACGTGCTCGCCGCGCTCAAATTTTTCCGCCGCGTCAATGGCAATGAAGGCCGCTCGGGGGCTGCTACGGTCAGGAACTTTTTTGCTTAGCGTGTCGCGGCGGCGGCCCCAGCGACGCGCTACCGCTTGCAACACCACAGTGTGTCGCTCCGCTCCGCGGGGCGGGCGGCTTGAAAAAACCAGAGGCGCTGGCGCCTGAGGACCAGACATTTGAAAACTAGCGTGTCGTGCCGAGGCGTGGACTGGCCAGAGGCAGGCGCAGCGACGCGCTGAGCCGAAGCTCCCGACCGAAAGGGTGCCTCTGGCCCAAGGTGTCTTCGGCCCTGGCATGGAACCTCTGGGGCCCACTGGCCCACTGGGCCTCGCGAAGGGTGACCTGGAGGCCGCAGGCCTCCTTGCAGATCCTGGGGGCGCCGCGGGCACGCTGACACTTCTGGCGCGCCGAGCGGCGCGGATCGGCGCAGGGCGAGCTGAGACAGCGGCGGCTCGGACTCGGTCCCCAGACGCCTCCCGGGGAGTCCAAATGCACCACTCGTCCGAGCTGCGTCCGGCCCTGGCGACGAGGCCCCCCCTTTGTGGGCCCCGGAAACGACAGGGCCGTTTTGTCACCGTTTCCAGAAAATGTCCCTTGAAAATGGAAACGGTAAAAAAACGGCGACCGGGAACGGCAAAAAAAACGGCTCCGGGATTGGAACCGGAGCCGGAACTGGTCACAAAACGGCGACGGAGCTGGTAAGAAAACGGCGTCGGAACCGGCAAACAAAAACGGCAAAAACGGAACCGGTAAAAAAACGGCCCTGTCGTTTCCAGGGCCCACGAAGGGCCCCCCCCCCCCGAAGGCCAACCACCGCTGTCTCAGCTCGGCCTCCCCTGAGCTGCGCGCGAGCCATGGCAGCTCGGGCCCTGCTGCCGAGCCGGCCAGCGCGCGTGGCCCACGGGCCGCGCGCGCCGAGGGGCGCACGGCGTGCGCGCCCGCGCAGCTGAGCGCCGCGGCGCTGCGGCTGCTGGGGGCAGCGCGTGCCGGTGCCCTGCCAGCCAGCCGCGCAGCAGGCGAGCACCGGCGCTGCCACCGACTGGCCATCGCTCGGACGTCCATTTACTGTGCTTTTGTTCGGTATCGTGCGTGGTTCTTTCGCGAAATGATCAAGGATGCTCCTCGATGGACCTCGCCGAAGGAAAAATGCACACGTCCGAGCGATGCCAAGCCGAGGGCGCCCGGTCAGCTCGAGGGCCGCATGGAAGGCCAGAGGCCCAAGGCTGAAACTGGGTGTTGCTAGAAGTGGTCTTGGACCGAGGTGTCCCCAACCCTTCGCACCAGCATGGAGCCTCGGGTGCCCTCTGGGTCTCGTGGAGGGTGCTCGGGAGGCTATCTGGGCCTTCCGGAAATCCTGGGGACACCTTGGGCACGGGACACCTTCGGCAACACCCGATGGGTAGAGGCTGCCTTGAGGGCCCGCCTGGTCGCACAGCTTGGCGCAGCTGACGAAGCCGTCATGTCGTATCCTTCTGTCGTGTCGAGCGCGTTGTAAGGGGGCGCCACCCTGGTTGACGCAGTCTCCTCGGCTGTGCTGAGGCGCGCGCGGGCGCTCGCCGGGTTGCGCGCCGCGATCTGTTTATGTGGATCTTCAAGATGCCGCTGGGATTCATCCTGTGGCAAAAGTACATGCGGAGAGCTCCTGGGACCGCCGAGGGGCACCTGACAGAGCGGTCGGGTGGATGGGTGCATGGCTGCGCCCATTGCGCACGGACCCAGGGCTCGCCGCTCCCTCTCCCTGGAGGAGGCGGTGGAGGAGGAGGAAGAGGAAGAGGAAGAGGAGGAGGAGGATGAGGAGGAGCAGGAGGAGGAGGAGGAGGAGGAGGAGGATTGATGAAGATTGAAGATGCAGACGGCTCTTGGGAATGCCGCTTCCCTGCCGCTCGCCCAGCCACCTGCGTTTCTGCAGCTCAGAGGGCCCAACAGCCCCACCTGTGGGGCGGACCCTGGCGCGCACCGGTCTCTGCGTGGAAGGCACGCGCGCGCTTCGGATGGGCTGATCGACGTGGTTTACCGAGTTACGTTGGCACCGGGCGGCAATTGGCGGAGGAAGGAAGAGGGGTGCGCCCAACACGCGGGACTGCTGGAGGAGGAGGCGGATACCCTGCACGGTGCAGCAACAGACAAAACGCTTGGGGCTGCCTGCGATGGCCCCTGGAAGCTCGGGGGGGAAACTTCCGCAAACCTCAGCTGGCGAGGAGACGTTCTCTGAGGCGGCTGGGGGTAGATGGGGGCGGAGACGCTGGGTGGCGCAACAGCAACTCAAACAAGCCTAGGGCACCTCATGCGAACACTGACAGCTTCCAATACTCAAAACACGATCGGCTGAAGAAGGAGGAAGACGAACCCGTCTCATTCCAGCTGAAAACGAATCACCAGAGTGGCAACACAAAGAGAAGGAGGCCGACTCCTCCTCCTCCTCCTCCTCCTCCTCCTCCTCCTCCTCCTCGCCCCCCTCCTGGCGAGCCTTTTCCCCTCGGAGCCTTCCTCATTCACCAGCTGACTACCTAGCAGACCACCCCAACCTAACCCGAAGACCCGAGGACCCGAACATGTGTTCTTTCAATACTCCCTGACGCCCCCCCACCCACTGGGAATGGAGGGCCAAACTGAGGTCTTCAAGTTGGGTTGGGGTGGTTCGGTGGGTGACGATCAGACCCCCCCCCTCTCTTCTGTTTTTCCGCCCCCTCCAGTCGACCATTCGGGCCACGAGTGGGCGGGTCTCGGGCGCCAAGACGCTCTGGCGGCCCCCGCCCCCGAACGCCCCCGACGAGGCGCAGCGACTGGAAACACACTTTTGATCCGAGGGTCGAGAGCAAGCCTCTCTCGGTCGAAGCTCAACGAATGGAAGCACACACGACGTGAGCGACGGCAAGAAAGGGGCTCGCGCGAGATGCCATAGCGGACCTGCGCAGTGACGTACGCAGGCGCCGCGCGCGCGGCACGCCACCTTGGGGACGACGGCGCTGGCGCGCGGGCAGCTTGCGCGGGCAGCTTGCGCGCCAGTGCCGGTGAAGACGAACCCACTATTCTGCGTCGCTCGGGACGTGGATGCCTGGGGACTGGGATACGGCTACCCATCGGTCGGAAGACGTAGGTAGAAGCATGAAGTAGGAAGGCGTTGGAAGTAGATTGGGTTTCCGCTGGCCCCCTTAAGGAGGACGGAAAAGGTGAAGCCGCTCGATCCTTGAAGTGGGAAGGCGCCTCACGTAGATCTGGAATCTAGCAATCCCAATAGACCTACTTTCAACGACCGATGGGCTGGCCATCGCTCGGACGTCCATTTCCTGTGCTTTTTGTTCGGTTTCGTGCGTGGTTTTTTCACCAGATGATCAAGGATGCTCCTCGATGGTCCTCGCCGAAGGAAAAATGCACACGTCCGAGCGATGCCAAGCTCACGTGGGCCCCGAGGACCTCCCGAAACGTTCGGAAGCCTTCGAACACGTTTTAGAAACACATCGTCGGCCCAAACATCCTTCCTCGCTGCTTCGGTGCGTCCTCCCACCTCCCTCCTCCCTGCCCTTCACACTCCCTTCTCCTCCCTATCCTCGTCGCCCGCTCCCTCCTCTGTCTCCTCGTCCTCCTCTTCGCCGCCCTCGGGCTCCTCCTGCTCCTACTACGACTGTCTCCTGCATCTCAACCTCGCCGTCCGATATCCCGTCAGAGCGGACAGCCATGATTGCAGTATGTTTCGAAGTCGCGACGTGTTCCGACGATTGACAGGTGCTCCTGTACGCCTCAGACATTCCAAATACATCAGGCATTGCGTTTCTGATGGCTGGACGGGACGTTTCGGCCGAACGACGCAAGGGGTGGCTGATCCTCCTTTGGGGGGGGGCTGGCTTCGTCCGCCTTCAGCTGTACAACATGCCCGACTGATCCTACATGTGGCCGACTATCGCCAGCGAAATACGAAGCGATGCACACCTCATCAGCAATAGCATTAAGAGTCTGGAGAAGGGCGCGGGTGACATGAATTCTTTGTAGGCCAGGAAGAAGGCGTTCTCGTTTGCATTGAGCTTCCCTTCGACCTTGGGGTATGCCGAAGGCTGGACAGAAAGAAGGCAGAGCGACAAAGAGCGCCACAAACGAAACTAGGGCGACTCGAATCACGAAATGAGGGTGACAAAGAAACAACGCGCCTCCCAGACGGGATCGATAGGGACGTTGAGGAGGTAACACGGAAAAACGTAACAAGTTGAAATAGGTGTTGGCATGACAGTTGAAACGACTGCACTCACAGCAATCGCGCCACTAAGAGCTTCCCGGACGTCACGAACTAGACATGGAGTGTCACCAACATTGAGATCATGACCACCACCAGCGCCCAAAGCAGCCAGACTGACAGACTGATGGTGCCGCTGCTGGCAGCACTACTGCTGCCAACACTTCCCAGGCTGCTGGTGTAGCTGCTGCTCTGCGCTCCTCTTCACCTCTTCGACCCACTACAGTCATCGGCTTGACCTAAGGAACGATACATAAGGAACGAAGCCCCTTTCTTATCCCAAGGAATAACGCATAAGGAACGATAAATAGTACATACCGCATAGGGAACGATAACTAACGCATGCAAACCTAAGGAACGACCGAGCCCCTTTTGAAACGTAAGTGCTCCTTGTTCAAGCCGCTCACTGTACCCGCCAGAGTGCCACCAGGCAAGAGAGACCTTCGGGTGCGCGGCGTGCCGATCGCTGCGCCCGGGGCGACAAAAGGGGGCGTGCGCGCGGAGGCTTGGCCCCCAACGCCGCATCGGGGATCATCTGACCCGGGTCAATCCAGACCCGGGTCATCCTCCTCCTCCTCTTTCTCTTTCTCCTCCTCCTCCTCCTCCTCCTCCTCCTCCTCCTGCAAGGAACAATGCAATGCAGGAACAAAAAAACTGCAACGCAGGTCTTCGCAAACCCGGGTCGGCCAATGTGCGCGGCCGCCTCGCGGCCACGAGCGGCTCGCTGACGCGGGTCAGCCAGAGGGGGTCTTCGCAGGATCCTGCAGGATGCGGTGCCCTGGCTGACCCCCGTGTGCATTGACCCCCGTCTCTTGAGCCCCGACCGCACACCAAGGATACATCTCTGGCGAGGGGTCCCTCTGACGTCGGCGGCGCGCCGAAGAGGGAAAAACGCTGGGGCAGGCCTTCTCGGAAGCCCCTCGTGGCTTCGGAGGCCGGGCGCGGCGGGACGAGGAGGAGGACGAGGAGGAGGACGAGGAAGACGAGGAGGAGGAGGAGGAGTACGAGGAGGACGAGGAGGACGAGGAGGAGGAGGAGGGCCGAAGACTGCCGAAGGCCTTCTGAGCCTTCTGCGAAGGCCAACCCCCCCCTCTCTGCCTTCCCCGCTGGGCGCGCCGCCGACTTCGTGCAGCGTGTCGCCCTTCCCCCCCCCTCCCCCGCGGGGCGGGGCTCGCTCGGGAAGGCTCGGGACGTGGATGCCTGGGGACTGGGATACGGCCACCCACCAGTCGGAGGACGTAGGCAGAAACAGGAAGCAGGAAGGCGTTGAAAGTAGATAGGGGTTTCCGCGGGCCCCCTTAAGGAGGACGGAAAAGGGGAAGCCGCTCGATCCCTGAAGTAGGATGGCGCCTCACGTAGATCTGGAATCTGGTAGTCCCAATAGACCTACTTTCAACGACCGATGGGCTGGCCATCGCTCGGACGGCCATTCCCTGTGTTCTTTTCGGTTTCGCGCGTGCTTTTCAGGGATGCTCCTCGATGGACCTCGCCGAAGGAAAAATGCACACGTCCGAGCGATGCCAAGAATAGACCTACTCTCAACGACCGATGGGCAGCGTGCCGCACCGAAGCGTGGTGGGCCAGAACCGGCGGGGCGACACGCTGAGCCGCAGGGCCCGGCACTAGGACCCCCCCCCTCCCGGGGGAAACCAAACAAGTACCGATGCTTACCAGCCTGATGAAAACAAATATCCCTATCCCTATGCTGGGCATCTCCTCATCACGATGCCAATCTTAGGGATTCCCTTGCTCCCAACCATCCTGTGGTGTTGGGTCCTCGTTTTGAAGAGACAGCGCCCCGCGTCCCACCTCCTCTCCTCCTCCTCCCCCTCCTCGCCCTCCTCCCTCCTCCCCCTCCTTGCCTCTGCTCTCGGCACACCCCTCACACGTTTCGTAGCCCCATAGGGAGCTCCACCGAAGGTCCCAGTGGCACAGCCCGCATGCGGTTCCTCCACCCAGGGCAGCGCTTCGTAGCCCCATAGGGAGCTCCACCGAAGGTCACAGTGGCACAGCCCGCATGCGGTTCCCCCACCCAGGGCAGCGTTTCGTAGCCCCATAGGGAGCTCCACCGAAGGTCACAGTGGCACAGCCCGCATGCGGTTCCCCCACCCAGGGCAGCGCTTCGTAGCCCCATAGGGAGCTCCACCGAAGGTCCCAGTGGCACAGCCCGCATGCGGTTCCCCCACCCATGGCAGCGTTTCGTGGCCCCATAGGGAGCTCCACCGAAGGCCCCAGTCGCGCAGTTCGCATGCGCCCCCCCTCCCCCCCCCCACCCAGGGCAGCGCTTCGTGGCCCCATAGGTAGCTCCCCCGAAGGTCCCAGTGGCGCAGCTCGCATGCGTCCAGTACTGCGTTTCGTGGCCCCATAGGGAGCTCCACCGAAGGTCCCAGTGGCGCAGTTCGTATGCGTCCTCCCCACACCCAGTACAGCGTTTCGTGGCCCCATCGAGAGCTCCACCGAAGGTCCCAGCGGCACAGCCCGCATGCGTCCCCCCCCCCATCCAGTACAGCGCTTCGTGGCCCCATAAGGGGGCTTCCCCGAATGCGATACCCACAACTGCATATGGTTGGGTCTTTCGCCAGGCTAATTTTTTGAGGGCGAATCCCTAAGATTGTCATTGCCTTTTGGCGTGTCAATCTTAGGGATAGGGATACGTTCGAGGCTGGTAAGATGCCGCTGCTCCCTGGACCTCTCCTGGGGGCGCGTTCTGACCAGGATTTCGAAGTGAACCAAGCCTCAGAACTGGCGCTGCCGCAGACCTGGGTCCACATCTGGAATCTCCCAACAAAATCTTCAACGAAACCAATCAAGCAACAATCTCACAACGAATCTAGCCACGCGAGAAGATCACACGAAATCTCCGATGAAATCACGCCTACGAAAATCCGAAATGGACTCCCCAAACAAATGTCCAACGAAACCGTGACACTACGAAGTCTCAAACAAAATCTCCAACGAAGTCTCCCGCCCCTGCGAAATCTCAAACATAACATCCAGCGAAATACTGCCTCTGCAAAACCCAAACCATCTATTACAACCAAAAAACCAGCCCCCCGCTGAATCCCAAACGAAATCTCAAAGTAAGCCCTGCCTTCACTAAATGCCAAACAGGATCTCAGAGTCAAATCTGGCCCTTGTTGGATCCCAAACGACAGCAACACGAGGTCTCTCCTGTGCGAAGATGCTCACGTGCTCGCCGACCCTGGCCCTCCAAAACCCAAAGAGAGCGCGCCCAAACAGCTCCCGAGGAGGTCCCCAACACACAACCAGAGCAAGACCCCATCGGGCCCCAAGACGGCCTGGCCCAGGGGGCCTCCAGGACGACCCAGGAGACCCCCCCAAGAAGGCCCCGTGGGGCCCCCAGGATGGCCCAAGCAGACGCTCAAAAGAGGCCCCGAGCGGGGGCCCGTGACCGAGAAGCCGAGCGGCCTCGAGAAGCCCTTCCTGGCAAATTGGCCGGCAGGACCCCCAGCGCGCCCCCACCGGGCCCCCCAGAGGCACCCCAAGACGTCCCCCCAAGAGGCCCCATAAGCCCCCAGGGGCCCCAGCCCCAGAGGTCCCGCAGGGGCCCCCGTGGAAACCACCAGCGGCTCCGAAACGGCACTGGAGACGCCTCCCAGGAGCCCCCACGAGGCCCCAGAGGAGCCCCCCCTTGGCCTCCAGCATGAGACGAGAGGCATTCGTGGCCCCTGACAAATTCCATGATACCAGAGAGAAACCCAAATCAGGGGCATAGGGGTAGGGGGCCATAGGGCTACAGGGCTATTGAGCTATAGGGCTATAGAGCTATAGGGCTATAGAGTTGTAGGGCTATAGGGCTATAGGGCTATTGGGCTTTAGGGCTATAGGGCCCCCCCGGGCACCCCTGGGCACGCCTGGGCACGCCCGGGCACCCGGGCACCCGGGCACCCGGGCACCCCCGGGCACCCCCCGGGCACCCAGGCAACCCTGGGCACCTGGGCACCCGGGCGTGCCGCGAAAATCGGCGACAAACCTAACCTAACCATATGAATCCGCTAGGACCCCTACAGAGGCAAGCTCTGATTGGGGAACAAGGTAAATCTCTTAGTGCGGCCCGGAAGCTCGAAGTCTATCCTTCGCCCAGATCGGTCGTTAGTTCAGCGCCTCGAGTGTCATGACGGCGATGGTGGCAATGGCGAAGGCGACGGAGAAGACGGGGTGATGGGCAAAGCTTCCGCCACCACTACCATATGTAGGACGGGGTAGAAGGGAGGATGAGGAGGTCCTCCTCCTCCTCCTTCTCCTTCTCCTCCTCCTACCTATGGTGGTGGTGGTGGAAAATGGGCCCATCAAAGGGTGGGCCTTCACGAGCCTTGTGTTGCGAGAGCGCCAAGGGGCGCGCCTTCGGGCTACACCTGGCGCCAACTTGGGGCCCTCGGAACTCTCGTAGAACTATCCTCTGGGGCCTTCTCGACACCCCTGTTGGATTTGTTTGGTGGACTTTGGGGCTTTCTTCGGCCCTTCTGGCGGCCCACCGCGAACCTCCGCGCGAGGCGCGCGCTAAAGTGCTTACACGAAGCGTGCCCCCGCACGCGAAGCGCGCTGAACGGCTTACAGGAGTCGCCCCTCCGCGCGCGGAGCACGCGGAAGGGTTTCCAACAGCTGCCCATCCAGACGCGCGAAGCGCTCTCCACGGCTTGCAGTCTCCGCTCTTCCGCGCACGAGGCACGCTGAACGGCTCACAAGACTGCATCCTCCGCGCGCGAAGCGGGCTACACGGGCTACGGTATGTACGCCTCTGCGCGCGATGCGCGCTGAACGGCTTACATTCCGCGCGAACAGCAGCGCGCTACACGGCTTACAATCCATACCTCCGTGCGCGCAGCGCGTTAAGCAGTGCTACAGAACTCGCTCCTGCGCGAAGCGCGCTGGAAGACTTGCAAGACCCGCCCCCCCCCCCCCGCGCGCGAGGCGCGCGAAACGGTTTACGGTGTTCGCCCCTCCGCGCGCGAAGCGCGCACCTCCGCGCGCACAGCGCGCCGAACGGGTTACAGTACCTTAAACCTCTGCACGCGAAGCGCGCTCAACTTTTTACAATCTTTGCCCCTCCGCGCGCGAAGCGCGCTACACGGTGTGCAGTGTTCACGCCTCCGCCCGCGAAGCGCGCTGAACGGTGCACGGTAGCCTCACGTCTCCGCGCACGGTGTACAATGTTTGATGTACTTGGCTGGCCCCCGGGGTAAGTCAACGAAAACGCACTGGGGGGGGGGGCTCAGGATAGGCCTAGGATAAGCCTAGCGGTAGGGCCTACGGCTAGGCCTAGGCTAAACCTAGGGGTAGGCTCCCCGGCCAGGCCTAGAGTAGGCCTAAGGGTAGGGCCCAAGAGGTGGGTCCCAGGGGTGGACTCTAGGGGTACGCCTAGGGTCGGCCCAGGCTTAAGTGTAGGCCCCTGAGGGTGAAGCCAACGCCTGAAAGGAAGCAGGCCTAGGGTAGGCTTACCATCCGGAGGTCATATGACAATCTCCAGGTCAAACTCATGGACAATCCCCAGCCTAGGGGCTAGGCACAGAGCAGGCCTGGGCGTAGGCTGGGGGGGTAAGCCCAGGGTAGACCTAGGGTAAGCCTGGGGGCAGTGCCGCTGAGGCAGTTCTGCGGTAGGGCTCAGGGTGAGCCTAACAGGTGGGCCTAGCGTACACCTAGGCGTAGGGGTAGGCTCTCAGGATAAGTTTGGGGTCAGCCTGGGGGTAGGCCCTACTGGTAGCCCTCGGAAATCCATGCGGCCCCCCAAAGAAATCTCCCGAGAAATCCTCTGGACAAAAATTCCCGGGAAGATCATAGGCCTTCAGGGTGGGCTTCGGGGTGGGCGTAGAGTATGCCTATGGGCGCGGCCGCCCAGGTATGCCTAAAACTGTAAACTGGTTCAGCGCCCTTCGCGCGCGGGGCTGCCCATACTGTGCACCGTTCCGCGCGAACGGCGCGCGGACGTGCAAATACTATGAACCGTGCAGCGCGCTTCGCGCGGGGAGATGAAGCTCTTGTAGACAGTTTCGCGCGCTTCGCGCGCGGAGGTGTAGATACGGCACTCGGTGTAGCACGTTCCGAGCGCGCAGCTGCCAATGCTGCCAGCCCTTTCGAGAGCTCCGCGCGCGGAGGCGCACATATCTTTGAAACAGTGTGGCGCCCTTCGCGCGCGCGGGGCTGGGCAGCTGGACGCAATGTAAGCCGTTGAGCGCTTCGCGCGCGCGGAAGTGCGAAAACTGTAAACCGTCAAGCGCGCTCCGCACAGGGATGTGTAAATGCTTCAAACCGTTAGGCGTGTCCCGCGCGCGGTTGTGGAAATGGTCTAAGCCGTGTAGCGCGCTTCGCGCGCGAAGGTATAGCGCGGCTCGCGCGCGGAACTGGAAGGACTGTCGACCGTGTCGCGCGCTTCCCACGCGGAAGTGCACACACACACACACACACATACAAACACAACGCACCGTTTAGCGCGCTTCGCGCGCGCGCGGACATGCAGATACCTCAAACTGGCTGGGGCCGTTCAGAACCAGAGAGGCCCGAGCCGCGTCCGGCCACGGCGGCGGCGAGAGGGCCCGACCGGAGGGCCGACAAGCATCCATGGTCGCAGCTGGCCCTCCCCACCCCTCCCGGGAGGCCCCGCCAGAGCGGGCACGGCGCCCAAAGGCCCAGGGATGTACACAACGCGTCGCGTCGCGCCCAGCCCCTCCAGGGAGGCCCCGCCAGAGGGGGCAGGGCTCTCGCAGGACATGCTATTTGGCAGGCTTCTCGCCCCACCCCCACCCCGCCCGACAGCAGGACGCCTCGTCAGGATGGGCAGGGCATTCGAAAAACCGCACTTTCGAGAACCAGATCACTGACGAGGTTCCGCGCCCCTCCTCCTCCTCCTCCTCCTCCTCCTCCTCCTCCTCCTCCTCCTCCTCCTCCTCCTCCTCCACCCCCTGCAGGGAGAGGCCCGGCCAGGACAGGCAGAAGGCTCCCGCAAACCACACCGCTTACAAGGCCCCGTGCCCCTTCCACCCACCCAGGAGAGGCCACGTCAGAGCGGCGGGGCACTCACAGCACAACATCTTTGGCACGTCTCGTGTCCCACCCCCTCCTCCAGGGAAGCCCCGCCAGAAAGTCTGCAGGGTTCTGTGCCCGTCCCAAGCCTCTAGGGGGGCCGCCAGAGCGGGCGTGGAACTCGAACACCATACTAGGTACATGGTTTTGCCCCCCCCCCCCCGCCCCACCCACCCACCCACCCCACCCCACCACCACCACACCTCTCCAGGGAGGCCACGCCAGAGGGGGCAGGTTACTCGCAAACCATGCCGTTGAAAACATGTCGTGCCCCACCCGCCCCGCCAGGGAAGCCCCGCCAGAGCGGGCAGGGTTCTCGACAAAAACCATAGTGCTCTAAAGGTCTTGTGCCCACCCTGCCCTCCAGGGAAGCCCCGCCAGAGCGGGCAGGGCATCCAAACACCAATCTATGTAGGTCGGGCATGTCCTCCGACAGGCGGATGTTTAAGGACAAATTGAAAATGGTCAAACAGTACTCCAAAATAGCAAACAAAAACACTAAATCGTCCTCATACTATGTTTTACTACTTTTGAATATTCTTCCTGTAGAGGAACAAGCTTTACTTAAGAGTAGATTTGCAATGCCTCGTGTCCTCACCACCCGCCCCTCCGGGAGGCCCCGCGAGAGCAGGCAGGGCATGCGAAGACCACACAAGTGAAAAGGTCTCGTGCTCCTCCCGCCCTTCCTGGTTCGGAGATCTGGTGTCCAGAGTCTGGCAAGCTCGCGCGAAAAACCCAAAGATTGATCCAGAGATTCTCGCGGGGGTGGATGTGTCCAGAGATCTTGCCAGACATGTCCCCAGGGACGCCTGAGACATGTCCAAAGGGGGGGCATTCGCTGGAGATTTCGCAAGAGATTTCAACGGAGGGAAAATGTGCCTGAGATTTCGCTGGAGATTCCATGGGGGGAGGAGTTTCGCTCGAGACTTTACTAGAGACTTTTACCAAAGCGGGTCGGGGGGATTTCCTGGAGATTTAGCTCGAGATTCTGTAGGAGGCCCCTGAAACCGGAGATTCCAAGGAAGAATTCGTGTGAGATTTGCACGCCTGGAGATCCAAATATCTTCCGCACGTTGAAAGGACTCCCCAAAATAGCCCCTAAGGCTGGCAGCGACGGATCTAGATCCAGCCGTGGAGACGAGGGCATCCCAGGAGGTCCAAGAGGGCGAACGTGAGGCACGGGAGGCGGTACATGATTACCCTGTACTCCTCTGGGTCTCCCCCCCCCCCCCTCGGCCTTTTCGTCCAGCTCGTCGGCCAGGGACTGCAGCTGCGAGTGCAGGTCCAATATCTTCCCGCCCTGGTCCATCTTGTCGAGCAGCTCCTGCGCTGCGGACCCGTGAGGCGGCTGCCCGATCTCTGCCAGGTCTCACAGGCTAGGGAGCCCACATAGGACGTACGCCCCCAACTATGTACATGAACACGGCCCCTCGATCAGCGAGACCCGCCGCGCGATACGAACATTCGCGCCATGCGCACTCTCGACACCAGCGTAGATTCATGTACGTGTACGTCCTTCTTTCGCTCCTGTCAGGCGCCTGCGGCTGCGCCCAGCGGGCCTCCGCGTCCGCCGTCCGCCCAGCGGGCCTCCGCCGTCCATCTTGTCGAGCAGCTCCTGCGCTGCGGACCCCGTGAGGCGGCTGCCCGATCTCTGCCAGGGCTCACACAGGCGCCTGCGGCTGCGCCCAGCGGGCCTCCGCCGTCCGCAGCACTACGGCAGGGGAGCGTCTGCGCACCGTGCCGCTGCGGCGGCCCCCGGCGGCCCGCCGTGCCCTGCGAGCGGCTGGCGCGCCGCTCCGCTCCCGCGGGGTGGAGGGCTCGGAAAGGCTCGGGACGCGCACGCGCGGGGACCAAGACTGAATGGGGCCCTGGGACACACAGATAAATACACACAAATAAAATGGTTCCCCGTATTTTCTGATACTTTCTGGAGTTTTGTCTTCCCCGCCACTTCCCATATTTTTCCATACTTTCCTGGGGAGCGACGATGAATTGTGTCTGTGTGCTTTTTCCCCTCCTGAAAGACGTGGATAGCGTGGCGTCCAGCCGCAGCGCGGTGGACCAGGACCGGCGCAGCGACGCGCCTAAGCCACAGCTCCTGGCCATGTACTCCTCCACCCTCGGCCACGGGGCAGCGCGCCCGAGCCAGGGAGGCCATGCCCGAGAAGAGGACGGACAAGCGGACGAGCCAGGCGGGAAGGCGGCAGGCGGTAGGCGCAGCGTTGCCCGCTCAGGCCCGCGAACCGGCCTGGCTTCCACACGAATTACCGGCCTCGAACTCATCCCTATCCCTAAGATTGACACGCCAAAAAGCGATGACAATCTTAGGGATGCGCCCTCAAAAAATAAGGGAATCCCTAAGATTGGCATCGTGATGAGGAGATGCCCAGCATAGGGATAGGGATATGTTCCAGGCTGGTAAACTAAGCAGCGCAGCTGTGCGCAACTCCACGCACCTGCGCCACAGAGGGCCGTTCGAGCCTGCCGTGTTTGCACGCCCTGGGCGCCCGTGGCGCGTTCTGGAACCCCTGGAGCAAAAAAAAAAGAGTGCCATCTCTTGGGGTGCCGATCTTCCTCTCCGCCGGCCCTCCGCCAGCCTTCCGCCGGCGGTACCGCCCTCGCTTTACTTCCGACGAGCGGAAGCTGCCGTGGATGACTGCCTAATGGCTGGACTCGCCGTGCAGATTTGTTTGGAAAGGAGGGAAGGAAGCCCAGGGGACGAGTGGCGGACGGACGAGCCACGAGCGCGCACAAGCGCGGCGCACTGGCGACACGATCCGCTGGGCACGCCTGGCCGAGGTTCCGAGCACAACTCACTGGCCCAGGCCGGAGACTCGAGAATCAGGAGCAAAATTAGAGGCCTCCCAAGCGGGGTCCGAACTCATGGGGTCGGAGGATCGCACCGCATCGCCGATGCATCGCCGACGCATCGGTGATGCACCGGCGCCGCCGGCGTGGAGAAAATCGGGCTCCACATCGAGCCGCATCGGCGATACATCGAGGACGCGGCGCGATCATCCGACCCCATCTGCTCGCACCCCATGTGGGAGGCCTAGAACAGGTGAACATACGGAGGCCAACTGGGAGGCCTAGAACAGGTGAACATACGGAGGCCAACTGCTGGAACACACGCGTGCGAAAGGCCCGCCGCTGCCTGGACGTGCGGGGGCCGCGAGCTGGGCAGATACGGGGCCGCACGTCCCTCCGGCTTTCGGCCGAGCCGGCCGCGTCGTGTGCAGCGGGCTTCCCGGCAGGAATCGCGGGGCAGGGAGCGAGCATCCAAAAGGCCCAGCACGCCAGAGGCTCGGGCCCGAGGGGCCTTGGCAGCTTCGGCCCGGCAGCGTGGGGCCTGGGCTGAAGCGCTGCTCAATTCTTGACCAGTCACCCCCCCCCCTCTCAGGCTTGCAGCCGCCGTCGACTCTTGCCCTCCTCCCTCCCCCCCCCTTCGCCTTCCCCTCTCCTCCCTCCCTCCCTCCCGAGCTAGATCCACCACATGCCCCCCCCGAATCAATGCGCCATCGAATCAATTCGCCCCCACCGCCAGCCCGGACAGCGAGCATAGAGTGGGCACAGCCCCGTCGAACCTGCAGGCGCAAACCACTCTGGGCCGTCGACAGCACAACAGGCTGCGCCATCCACGGGCTGCGCCAGAAGGTCTGCTACACATTGCGCCACGGGCTGCGCCATGGTTTGGATCACGGGTCACGCCACAGGCTGCGTATGGCGCGTCGTAGGTTGCTCCGCCTGCTGCGTCACCCATGTGATACGCAAGGTGTTGTGCACCGGGTGGCGCCGTTGAGCGGGCCCTTGTTTGCGTAAAGGGTTGCGCCGTGCTGCGCAATTGGTAGCACTATGGATTGCGCCATGGGCTGCGCGATCCATATCTTACGCCATGTGCTATGCCATTGGATGTGACAGAGGTTACACCTTGAGGTGCGCCATCCGGTGGGAATGGCTTGCGACGTAGATTGTGGAGATGGGGGCGAGGGGGCGGGTGAGGGGCCAGTGCTGGAGGGAGGCCGAGACACGCTTCCTGCACGATTTGCCAAACAGAGTTTCTGGCGGGAGCGGGGCTCTGGAGTCGGCCAGCCCACTCGGGGCCAGCAGGCTGCGAGGCATGCGCTGTCCAGGTCCCTGCGCAGTTTCAAGTCCCAAGTTCTTACAGGCCTCCTATCGGCAGTGGACAAACCTCCCTTTAGTAAACCTCCCTTTAGTGAAAACGGCCTGGGACCGAAACCGACGGACCTGGACCCGCGAAAATGACGGCCGCGACGCCCTCTCGCGAACCGAAAACGGCCAATTCACTAATCGACGTGTCAGGGTAGGAGGTCTGTCCACCCCCGATTCTAGAGGGGGTCCGAGCAGATGGGGTCGGAGGATTGCACCGCATCAGCGATGCATCGGCGACATCGCTGTGGAGAAGGTTTGGCCTCCACATCGAGCCGCACCGCCGATGCATCGGCGATGCGGGCCGATCAACCGACCCGATCTTGGGGAAATCAAAAAGGTACCGATACTGCTACTCCCCTACCTCTCCCGGGGTGCGTTCTGACCAGCCTTCCGAGGCGAATCCAACGGTGGCGACCAGATCCTGCCAGGAGGGCGAAAAAAAACTGGAAAAAACAGGCGAAGGCTAGCGGGACGGGCAGCTTTTCCTCCTCCGACCTCTGCTCCGACCCCATCTGGGAGGCCCTATGTACAGGTCCAGTTACAGTGGGTGCGCGTGCCAAGAAACCAGGGTTGGGTTTCTTGCGGAGGTTTCTTGTGGCCGAGGCCCCACTGTAAGCCACACAAGCCCCCAGGCGGAGAACGAGCGGAGGCTCCGACACCCGGCGCGGGCCGGGGCGCGCGCCACAGGAGCGAGGGCCGAGGCCCCGAGCGGCGCGGGAGCGCGCCACTGTGAAGGGGAACTGGGACACACAAATAAATACACACAAATAAAAATATCCCCCATATTTCCCCATATCTTCTGGGTTTTTGTCTTCCCCCCCACTTCCCATATTTTCCCATATCTTCTGGGAATCGCCGATTAATTGTGTCTGTGTGTTTTTTCCCCTCCTGACACTGGGAGAGTCGCAGGGGTGGCGGCAGCGGGCCGGTGACGCCTCGGCGGGAGGCCCACGCAGTCGTGGCAGTCCCCCCCGCACGGCATGCAGGAACTGCTCCGTCGCAGCGCGGCGGAAGCGATCCGCGCGCGCGATCTACAGTCATCGGCCTGACCTAAGGAACGATAAATAAGGAACGAAGCTCCTTTTTTTATCCCAAGGAATATCGCATAAGGAACGATAAATTACAAATAACGCATAAGGAGCTGTAAAGGAGGCATGCAAGCCGTAAGGAACGACCGAGCCCCTTTTGAAAAGTAAGTGTTCCTTACTCAAGCCGCTCACTGTAGAGTGCCAGCCCTGGGCACGCACTGTACTCGGTCGTCGGCGAGAGAGGGGAAGGGGCGGGAGAGCGGCCGCGGAGGGCGGGAGGAAGAGGGAGGGCACCCACGGCACGAAGACCTTCGGCAGGAGTCGGCGCGTGGGAACAGAAGACGGCATTGGCATAAACTGTTGGAGGTCCGCGCGGATGTCTTGGATCGGCGCCGGACCCCCCTCCCTTGCACGCGGAGCGCCCTTGGGGCGGCGCCAGAGGCTCCGCCAGGGGGATCCATCGTAGATCCAAGAGATCCACGCGGATCTCTAAAAGATGATCTGTATGACGTTTGTTTGTTCCTCGGCGGCCTTAGTGGGCCCTGGAAACGACAGGGCAGTTTTTTACCGGTTCCGTTTTGCCGTTTTCTTACCGGTTCCGACGCCGTTTTCTTACCGGTCCCGTCGCCGTTGTTTGACCGGTTCCTGCTCCGGTTCCGATCCTGGAGCCGTTTTCTTGCTGTTTCCGGTCGCCGTTTCTTTGCCGTTCCCATTTTCAAGGGACATTTTTTTGGAAACGGTGAAAGAACGGCCCTGCCGTTTCAGGGGCCCACAAAGTCGGGGGCAACACATGCGGGGGGTGTGCGGCGAGCTGCCGCGAGCCAGGCAGCGCGGCCGACGGCAGCCTGGCGCTGGCAACAGAACGCCACTGGCCCGAAGCTCGGCTTGACTCGCCACTGCACGCGGGAGCATGGGCGGCGAGGGGCTGTTGACCAGCCTCGAACGTATCCCTACCCCTAAGATTGACACGCCAACAGGCGATGACAATCTTAGGGATTCGCCCTCAAGAAATAAGGGAGTCCCTGAGATTGGCATCGTGATGAGGAGGTGCCCGGCATAGGGATAGGGATGTGTTCCAGGCTGGTAAGCTGCTGGAGGTGAGAGAGCGAGATCTGGTCAGAAACTTCTGCTGAGCGTGCCGCGGCGGCGGCCCCGGCGGCACGAGATCCCCTGCAAGACGATAGCGCGTTGCTCCGCTCCGCATGGCGGGAAGTCAGGAACAACTCGGGTCGTTGGTGCCGGGGGCCGGGAAATGGCTCGCATATCGCACAGCAGCGCGGTGGGCCTGACCGTAGAAACAGAGAGACAGAGAGAGATAGTGGAAACGAGAGGGAGAGGCAGAGAAAGAAGATAGAGAGATAGAGATATCGAGAGGGAGCATTACTCGAACGGAAATGCCAAGATGCAAGCCGAAAGCTCGTCCAGATCTTCTCGAAACACTGTACCTCGAGCACGAGGCCACCAGGTCACGCTGCGAGCACTCCGTGGGCACGCCCGGCCCTCGAGCCAGGGGCTTGGCCCTCGGCAGAGAGAGAGAGAGAAAGCGATAGAGAGAAAGCAAGAGAGGGAGGGGGACGAGGACAGGAGGGCGGCCTGCTCCGAAGAGGCAGGCCCCACGCAGGGGAAGCAGCCGAGGCCCGGCGAGCGGCGAGAGACGCTCTCACCCGGCGCTCGGCTCGACGGACGCCAGATGATGCGCGGTGCACAGGGAGCCAGGCATCCGAGCCAGCAGGTCTACACACACACATGCCAACTGGGGGTCCGCCTGGAAGTCACCCCAAAAAGGGCCGTACTCAGCCTCGCGGGGCCTCTCCTTGCACGCATGCCCCCTCTTGCCGAAAGCGTTGCGGCGTTCGCCCCATGCAGGCAAAGCGGGCGCCAACAACTGCGCGCCCCCGTCCCCGCGAGCCGCGGGGAGGTCGGAAAGCACAAGGGACACGATGGGGCCGCTGAGCAGGCCCGCCGCGCCCCTAGGCGAAAGCTCTCGCTGCCGCGCCGCCGCGGCACCGAGCTTGGAATCCTCTCCATCGATCTTCAGGAACGCCAGTGCCGGAAACGCTCGGCATCACTGCTTGATCTCGGACCTCGCGCTCCTGGAATCCTCGAAAAGCTTTGAGGATTCCAGTGCTCGAAAAGTTGCGGAAAGTTTTCGAAAGTTTTCGAGCTTTCGAGATAAAATCCTGGAACAAATCCTTCGAACAAACCCTCAACAAAAATCATAGAAAAAACGGTTCGAGGATGCCTTCGAAGAGAAATCCTCGAAGAGTGTCCGCCCCTGGAGTCCTCGAAAAATCTTCAAAATCTTCGAGGCTTCCAGTGTTCGAGGACTCCAGGTTTCGAGGATTCCAGCCTTCGAAGAGATCCTCGAACAGCGTTAGAGTTTCCGCAGGACGTCGCGCGTGTTCAGCGCGCGGCGGCCTGCGGCCCCTCGTCCTTCTCCTCCTCCTCCTCCTCCTCCTCCTCCTCCTCCTCTTCCTCCTCCTCCCCCTCCTCCTCCTCATCCTCCTCCTCCACCTCCTCCTCCTCCTCCTCCTCCTCCTCCTCCTCCTCCTCCTCCTCCCCTCCCGCCCGGCGGCCACGGCAGGTGTTCGAGTTTTCGCAGGACTTCGCGTGCTTTCCGCGCGCGACGGCCTGCGGCTCCGCCTGCGCCCGCGGCTCGCCCCCGCGGGCGCCCCGCGGCTCTGCCCCGCTCCTCTCCCCTGCTCCGCGCATGCCCTCCCCGAGGGCTCGCAGTAAGTCGGGCGTGTCCCCCTACAGGGGGGAATCTTCGACGGTATATATATATATATATATTATCCAAAAATCCCTGCTCCGCGCGTGCCTTCCCCGAGGGCTCGCAGTAAGTCGGGCGTGTCCCCCTACAGGGGGGAACCTTCGACGGAAAATAAAAAAACAAATAATCCAAAAGTAGCCTGGGGACTATATTTTGAATATTGTTTTACCTTTTTGGGGGTATTTGTAGGGTATGTTCTATTTTTTCGTCGAAAATCCCCCTGTAGGGGGACACGCCCGACTTAAGGCTTGCATGCACCAGAGCGTGTGTTCCGTTGGACCCCCGCAAGCTCACGAACGTGGCGGCAATTGCGCATTTAACAGCACCCCAGACGGGAGAGGTCTTGTTGGGGCGTCCGTAGCACCGCGCCACGTTGGTCTCCACAGCAGCTCGCGAAGCTACCAAGTTGCTCAACCAAGGAAGGGGAAGTCTCGTTTCGAACCCCGCAGCGCTGCACTCCGCAGGACCTCCCAGAGGATCTCACGAAAATGCCAACAATTGCGCTGATGACCGCACTTATGGAGCGCTAGGTCTCGGTTGGGTCCCCGTGACCACGCACTCCGCTGGACCTTCCAGGAGCCCATGAACTTGCCAGCACTTGCGCAGCACCACCGAGGGAGAGTAAGGTCCCGTTTGAATCCCCGTAGCCTCGAACCCCGCTGGCCCCCCAGGAGCTCACAAAAGTGGCGAGGTTTGCGCAGGTGGCAGCACCCAGGGAGGGCGAGAACGCGCTTGTATCCCCGTAGTACCGCACTCCCCAGGACCTCCCTGAAACTCACGGATTTGCTTACACGGGAGGGGGCGGCAGTCGACGGTAGAGGAGGAACAGAAGTTCCGTGCTCAAAGCGAGTAACCAACCAACGGAGAGCTTAGAGAAAAACGGCACTGAAAGCACCACGCGCGTGTGCTTCCAAAAAAAGTGGCACAGCACACAATGCACGCAACACACTACAGCATACCATGCATGATCGAGCTGTGATGCTTTCAGCTCTGATGCTTTGAGGGATGTCTCCACGCCCTCCTCCTCCTCCTCCTCCGCCTCCTCCTCCTCCTCCTCCTCCTCCTCCCACACCCCCTCCTCCTCCTCCTCCTTCTCCTCCTCCTTCTAATCCTCATCCTCATCCTTATCCTCATCCTTCTCCTCATCCTCATCCTCCTTTGCTTTCTTAGTCCCCCTCCTTCCTATCCTCCATACGGAATCCAACTCCTCGTTCGAGAGGTCCCAAACGAAGTGAACCCCACCCTCCCCCTCAGAAATCGTGGGGGGCAGGGGTAGGGTTCGCATGTGGCCCCCCGCCCCCCTGCCCCGCTCGGCCCTGCGCGTGGCCGACTCGTGCTGCCGGGGCACTGCGGGGTGGTGCACGGAGCAGCACGTGCCGCCCGACTCTGGACACCGTGGATTCCATGACAGCGCCGGCGTCTCCCCGCTGCCGCCGCCGCCCTCCACCGGCGAGCCCAGCGGTCGTCGTGATCCCACCAGCTTCCGCCGGCCTTCCCAGCACGGGCACGGAAATGCTGGTCACGATGCCCAGCTGCAAACATGCCCAACACCGAAAGCGGCCAGTGCTGGGCAGGCGAGCTGTTGTCTCAACTGGACAACGCCCGCCGCGACATCGGCAGCGAGCCCTGCTCAAAACGGGCAGAAGCCGCTGCCAATCTTCGTCCCCACCCTGTCCGCATCCATGCCCTCCGACCCCAGAACACCCTCGCGCCCTCCAGCCCCCCCAGCCCTGACTTCGGATCCGCCGTTCTCTGGGCGAATCCGCAGCCAGGGCGGACCTGCCCGCACTACATCGGAAGCTCCTTTGATGTCGATGTCCGCTCTATTGTGCCGTCGCTGCCTCCGCCAGACATCCGCGGAAATATCCGCCCCACTTTTCTGAGGCAGCAATTTCCTCCTCCACGTGTTCGCATCGAAGTTTCGAGTGATGACATTGGGTACGGAGCCCTTGGATAAAGAATCCAAGGTCTGGAAGCCGGGGCAAGGACAATCGTGGATTGGCCATGGATATCACCGCCGCCCTCGTTAGAGAAGGAACCCTACAGGGTCTGAAGCCTCCTGGGCACATTCCTAGAGGCCTGCTAGATGGGGTCCGAATAGATGGGGTTGGAGAAACGCGCCGTATCGCCGATGCATCGCCAATGTATCAGCGATGCATTAGCGAAGCATCGCCCATGCATCGGCGACGTCGGCGGTGCATCGACGATGCCAACGCGGAGCAAATCAGGCTCGGCATCGAGCCGCATCGGCGATGCGGCGTTATCCTCCGACCCCATCTACTCGGACCCC